TTTTCTTTCTTTCTCACTCAAAAAGTATATATTTTGTTTCGTTCATGTACAGAACGATTAAGCAAAGTTAAAAAGTTGTGTATATATATTGTAGAAACTTTTGCGAATTGTTTTGTTAGTATTAATGCACTGCTCGTTAATCGATTCCGAAAAATTTTAAAATATATAAATATTTTTTTATAAAATAAATAAAATGTGTGTATGAAACTAAAGAGCCACAGCTCCACATCCAAAGAGCCGCATTTGGCTCGCGAGCCATAGTTTGCCGACCCCTGGTCTAGTCTATAGTCTAGTCTATAGTCTAGTCTATAGTCTAGTCTATAGTCTAGTCTATAGTCTAGTCTATAGTCTAGTCTATAGTCTAGTCTATAGTCTAGTCTATAGTCTAGTCTATAGTCTAGTCTATAGTCTAGTCTATAGTCATAGTTAGTCTATAGTCTAGTCTATAGTCTAGTCTATAGTCTAGTCTATAGTCTAGTCTTAGTCTAGTCTATAGTCTAGTCTATAGGTCTAGTCTATAGTCTAGTCTATAGTCTAGTCATATAGTCTAGTCTATAGTCTAGTCTATAGTTAGTCTATAGTCTAGTCTATAGTCTAGTCTATAGTCTAGTCATAGTCTAGTCTATAGTCTAGTCTATAGTCTAGTCTATAGCCTAGTCTAATCTAGTCTATAGTCTAGTCTTAGTCTATAGTCTAGTCTATAGTCTAGTCTATAGTCTAGTCTATAGTCTAGTCTATAGTCTAGTCTATAGTCTAGTCTATAGTCTAGTCTATAGTCTAGTCTATAGTCTAGTCTATAGTCTAGTCTATAGTCTAGTCTTATAGTCTAGTCTATAGTCTAGTCTATAGTCTAGTCTATAGTCTAGTCTATAGTCTAGTCTATAGTCTAGTCTATAGTCTAGTCTATAGTCTAGTCTATAGTCTAGTCTATAGTCTAGTCTATAGTCTAGTCTATAGTCTAGTTATAGTCTAGTCTATAGTCTAGTCTATAGTCTAGTCTATAGTATAGTCTAAGTCTAGTCTATAGTCTAGTCTATAGTCTAGTATTCTATATAGTCTAGTCTATAGTCTAGTCTATAGTCTAGTCTATATTCTAGTCTATAGTCTAGTCTATAGTCTAGTCTATAGTCTAGTCTATAGTCTAGTATATAGTCTAGCCTATAGTCTAGTCTATAGTCTAGTCTATAGTCTAGTCTATATCTAGTCTATAGTCTAGTCTATAGTATAGTCTATAGTCTAGTCCTAGGTATAGCTAGTCTATAGTCTAGTCTATAGTCTAGTCTAGAGTCTAGTCTATAGTCTAGTCTATAGTCTAGTCTATGTCTAGTCTATAGTCTAGTCTATAGTCTAGTCTATAGTCTAGTCTATAGTCTTAGTCTATAGTCTAGTCTATAGTCTAGTCTATAGTCTAGTCTATAGTCTAGTCTATAGTCTAGTCTAATAGTCTATTCTATAGTCTAGTCTATGTCTAGTCTATAGTCTAGTCTATAGTCCTAAGTCTATAGTCTAGTCTATAGTCTAGTCTATAGTCTAGTCTATAGTCTAGTCTATAGTCTAGTCTATAGTCTAGTCTATAGTCTAGTCTATAGTCTAGTCTATAGTCTAGTCTATAGTCTAGTCTATAGTCTAGTCTATAGTCTAGTCTATAGTCTAGTCTATAGTCTAGTCTATAGTCTAGTCTATAGTCTAGTCTATAGTCAAGTCTATAGTCTAGTCTATAGTCTAGTCTATAGTCTAGTCTATAGTCTAGTCTATAGTCTAGTCTATAGTCTAGTCTATAGCCTAGTCTATAATCTAGTCTATAGTCTAGTCTATAGTCTAGTCTATAGTCTAGTCTATAGTCTAGTCTATAGTCTAGTCTATAGTCTAGTCTATAGTCTAGTCTATAGTCTAGTCTATAGTCTAGTCTATAGTCTAGTCTATAGTCTAGTCTATAGTCTGGTCTACAGTCTAGTATATAGTCTAGTCTAAAATCTAGTGTACCTATAGTCAAGTCTAGTACATACAAGACTATAGATCAGTCTATATTTTTAAATATATGTATGTATGTTTGATAAATTGTATTTTTCTTAAGATTTTCGTGTTATCTTTAGAATTTTAAAAATTTTTAAAGAGTATTCTACTTTGAAAATCTTGATACATAATGATTATTATTCGATAAAGAATTCCCCTCCCTGATTTTAAACAATTTTCCAAATAAAACTGTTAAATCACTGCGAGAGCAAATGAAGCTAATAGAGCGAAAAAAAGAATGAAAAATTTAAGTACTAGCACGTACTATAGTTAAAGTGAGCTAAAATGCACATAAGTATGTATTTAATAGTAAATGAGATGAAACTCCCGAACTCTACAGTCGGTAGAGTAAAAATATTTTTAAAACAAATTCGATAGATTTTATTATACGTTCGCTAAAGACGTCATTAAAATTAAGATTAAAAATTAACAAAAAACGTGTTTGTAAGTATATATAAATATGTATGTATGCATGTATGTGTTATTAACTGTTTTGTTTAAAATTTTGCATTTTGAATAAATTAAATTCAAAATTTTTGTATGTTTTTAACAGAATAACTTGTTGTTGTGTTACTTAATTAATTGACGTTTTTAAATTCAATTTTAAATATAGAGTATTTTATTGGGGGATTTATTTTTAAATGTTAAAGTGTTATTCAACATGAAATGACTACGATTTTGGTTGTAGGGTGTCAAAGGATATTTTTATACATACATATGTATACAGATATAATATGTATATACTTTCATGTATGTGAAAGGATATTTAAAGAGGAGTAATTTTTTAATTTTTTTATAGTAGGGCCTTCTTTAAATTAATTCAGTTATATTAATGTAAGATCGTAAATATGTAAGTATGTATATTGGCGACATGTTGCGCCCTATCTATTATGTAAAGGAGGGCCTTATATAGAGATCTATAAAAGGAATTATCATTCAGTGTCCCGAAACTTAATTTCCTGGGTGTAGTTCCTTAGAAAGATTTTTAGATTTTCTTTTTGGAGAGAATATGACAATAACAGAAGGAAATAAATATGTAGATCGGAGCATATAATCAACACCAATTTACTTTTATATATTTTATAAATTAAGTCCCTTTGTTCAGAGACCTGCCATAGAAGTGTTAACTGGTCCTCTTCTAGGAAAATTTCATATTAAAACAATTAAGAATATAAGTCAGAACATATATGATAAAAATATGATATTTGAGCATAACAATATAAATCGTGTTTATTTTTCTTTCGATGCTGAAATTTAGAAGTGGGTCTTAAATGGAATCTAAGGGACCTATTTTAATTAACTGCCGCTCCTCATTATCATTATTAATAAGAGATTATATGTTAATACATTTCGTAAGCGCTTAGCGTGATATTGGCTGTCAAAGTTTACAAAAATCTGTTCACATCTGGCTTTCAAGATATCGTGTCTTAGAACTTTAGAAACCAGTTTTTGACCAGTCTACAGTCGTTAGTGTTCATCAGTTTGAGCCGAAATAACAGCGCCAGGACACATTTGTTTATAAAATCTGGCAACTTTAAAATAAAGATTTATTTTCTAGGTTTAGGTTAAGAAGGGTTATATACCATAGAATCAACGGTGTATATCCACTCGGAGACCATAAGGTCTATTTTTATTCCCTTCAAGAGGTGAAGATTCAAAAACAGAGAAACAAAAAGAAAGAACACTACAACAAGACAAGAAAATAGATAAAGAGGATATATGAATAGAACAACGGACCTTTTCCTAAGGGGATACAACCTATAATATCTGACAAGTTCCCACCCTAAGGAATAAGTAAATAAATAAAAGAGAGAGAAAATCGATGTCCCCTTATAAAGCCCAGCCAAAGAAGTGACTAATTCCCCTGACAAAACCTAGTAGATTGCAAGGGTTTAGTCCCGCAATTTCCCCGAGTTCGTCGTGGAACCTATTTCCTAGCCATTTCAGCCTGAGATTCTGTATCCTTGGCAAATAATGTGCTCGATCGTCTCTATTTCCTCCTCATCTTTGCATAACCTGCAAAAGTCCGGTAAACTACTGTCCCATTTACTGATAAAGTTTCTGACTGAGCAGTGTCCAGTTAGAATCACTATCAGAACCCTTAGACTGAGTCGATCCAGTCCTATAGGTATTTTGGTAGTACCCATATAAAGTTTTGGCCAGAGGGCCTTTGATATTTTGTGATCCAATCTACTATTCCAGGACTGGTTGATGATATCACGTATTCTCTCGAATATCAACCTATTATAGTGACAAATGGGTCTGTCCGCTATTCATTACCATGCATGTTACAGTGCCCTGGCATCCAACACAATCTAACGACAAACTGTCTCATAATTTCCCTAAGGGCATTCCTACAATCTGCAATCAGCTCTCCATGCCCTGAGAGCAGCTTGACTATCAACATAAATAGTCAGAACCACCCCGGATCGAAATGATTCCCTATCAGTTTCGTCCCTTTCCAGATCGCTAGGATCTCTGCTTGAAAGACAATACATTCGTCAGAGAGTCTGAAAGACCGTTTTATGTTGATATCAGCGATATAGTCACCGGCACCCGTGCTGGTATTTTCTAACTTCTTCCAGATATCTTAACCTTAAATATGAAACGACTACAAATATCTCAAAATGCTGATATGATGAAGAAATTCTGATTAAAGGTTTCCATGGGCGGACTTGGTCACACCGACGGACGGACAGAACAAAATCGTCTCAGAAAGTTATTCAGAGTTGATTGGCATGTTTTTAAAGCACAAACGAATAATACCCTACACCACTATAGTGGATAGGGTATTATTCGTTTGTGTTCTATTACTATAAAGAACAGCTTCTCTCTATTTATACTAATAGAACAAAAACGAATAATACCCTATCCACTATAGTGGTGTAGGGTGTATAAAGAACAGCTTCTCTCTCTTTATAGTAATAGAACTAGAACCGGTCTTTGTATTTAATCTAACAGGGCCCACTACCGAATCTTACTATTGCATATTAGTTCCGATTGTGCACACCCTTAAAATATCGGCTAGACTTCGTGACTTATCAAACAACAACATGTAAACTATAAAGGGCCCCCCAACTTAGTGCTAAAATAATGTGAGAGAGTCAACTGTTTGCACACACACTTAACCGGTCCTGCTGCAGAAAATTTTGCTTTAAAAAGCAGCCCCAAACTGTAATAGAGTCTCAGTTGAGATTTGATTGTTGCTTCGTTTAGCAGTTTTAACAACAAGTGTTAAATTGTAAAAAAAAATTACAAGAAATAAAAAAATATAAATTAAATACAATTGAATAAAATTCAAAGTATTTATTAAAACTGAGACAAACCCTATCCATCTAAAGTGTTTTAAGGTTTGTCAGTTTGTGTGTAAAAAAAATCTAAAAAATAATTGTATTAAAAATCAAATACAATTACAAATTAAATAAATTGCTTTAACAATAAAAGCTAAATTTTTAAGTAACAAACAACAAGTGTAATTTATCTCTACAACAAGTGACATCCACAAAAAAAGACTGGTAAGTGGGAACGCATTATAATAGAAATTGTATAGTATACAAACTATGGAGTCTATTTTTAAACAATTAAATTCAATTATATTTTCATGTACTTTAATTAATTGTATTTAATTTTGCACTTATTTGTCAAATAGTTTTTGTTTTTCTTCTTAATTTTAAACTTGGCATGCGTTATATTATAATTTTATGTTTAATGTTGTTGTTTGTTTAAATAATATCTATTTATTTATAATTTCGTAAATATTAACTTGGCTTTAAAAATCGTTTCAGTTCATTTATAAATCAAGGCTAACAAGAATATTTTTATTTATTTTTTTGTTAATTTTGACCAAGTTTTTTTTTATACTTGAATATTTATTGTTAACTGGCATAAATAAATTTCATTTAATTTTATGTATAATATAATTTAAATTATTGTAATTTTATGGCATTCTTAATAAAAAAAATTCATCTAATCTGTTTTCAATGTTTTTGTAATGAAATTTTTTTTTTTTTTTCATTTCAAATGCAAATTTTGTAGTATTTTTAAGAAAATTTGCATTAGAAATGAAATTATTACTAATTATAATAAAAATTATAATTTTATTCAAGAATTTTTGTTAGTTTTGTGTTAAATTTTAACTTGATTAAATTAATTTAAATTTCTATATTTATACAAAAAAAAAAAAAAAAAAAAACAATTTACCACAGTAGTCGTCATAAACATTAAAATATTATTAAATAAAAAAGATAAATTGTGGTCTGTGTAATATACATAATAATTATATTGCGTTCACATTAGTCTTTTCAGTTAATTTTTAAATGTCCTTTTGAAATTTATAAAAAATCCCGAAAAATTTTAGAACTTGTCCTAAGAAAATTAATTCTAGAACGAAAGTAAAGAAACTCACAACCGGTTGCTCGGAACATTGTTGCGATTCTAAAATAATTCTTAAGAGTTTTCAAGGAACTAGTTCATTGACATTAGTTATAAATAGTGAAGCAGACCACTCTCAGATTGATAAGCTAGAACACTACCAACTGGCCTACAGGAACACCACATATATTTAAAGAATCAAACATTATTCAAATTCTTTTAAATTGGCTTAGAGATCTATTATAGAATGTTAAGAAGATACTAGAACTGGTTTCCACTTCCTAAGAATCAGTTAATGAACTAGTTTTTTATAATTTTTCTTCACTTCAGTTTATTCTATTTACTCTAGAATCTAGATATAAAATCAGTTCATACAAATATCCCAGAGGGCCCGGAGCTACAGTACAACAAGTCCTGAGTCTGGTTACGTGGGGCTCATTTGAAACATCTTTTCTCAATGGCGCGCTTAAAAACCTTTTCAATTAAAAGAAATAGTTAAAAAAATTAATAAAAATTTATTCATATTTCTTTAAATTCATGTTCTCTCACATTTAGACACGCCTTATTTTACAATTTATGGAACTAGTTCTGATTTGTTTGACATCCAAATTATTTATTGTTCAATACTGTGTCCGAATTACCTCTTTCGATCACGAATAAGCATCCGTTATTGCTTCGGAAGAAACAAGACAACTGCACACTATTTTATGCGATTAAGAATTCGGGAACTCAGTTCCTGGACATATTTTCAAATTAAATCAAAATAGCATAAGAATAAAGCGACAGGAGTCATGTCGAGTTTCATTTTATTCCTATTCCAAAATCAATTACGAGTGGAACATTAACTAGTTCCGTGGATACCAAATTCAAAAAACAAAAATCATTGATAAAAAATCTAGTTCCAGAATCAAGTCGTAGACCGCTTCCACAGAATCAATTGAAAATAGTACTTCATATAAACAATTATCAACTGCTAATAATATATGTATGTACTTTGAGATGAAGTATACTATATTACAACTGTCTGGTTTAAAAAAATTCTAATAGGGATTTGTCATTCTATATAACAATCTTATCAACATGGAAACTAGACAGTACAACAATATTGCACTGTGAAAGTTTCGGTAAAAATCAATTTAAATTCTCAACACTTACAAAATTATTTATTAAACATTTGCTATTACATTTAAGTATCTATTAAATCTAATCTAAATTTCTAACTAAATAAATATGTATTTAATAAAAGTACAAAATCTAATCATATTTACTAATGGGTTTTATTGGCAATTTCTTTTATTCTAATATATTTGAATAATCTTAAAACTTGAACAAAATTTAGTACTAACCATGTCTTATAATATGGAGGATGAGAGAAAATCGAACGTTAATAATACTAAATATAATATAAATTTGGAAAAATTAGATCCTAAGGTGTCGGTGAGTGTAATATTTTATTCAAAATATATTTTTAATTAATTTGTTTATTGTTTTTATTAGTAATTGAAAGTATAAACTTGTTTTAATTTATGTTATTTTTTAATACAGCTAGTGACAAAAATTAGTTTTGGACTAAGGCCCGTATTCAGAAAGAAAAATGTCAAACAATACTTAAAATTTTGTATGAAAACTACTCAATTTTTGTTAGTGTTTTTCATACAACATTTTAAATATTGTTTTACATTCTTCCTTCTGAATACGGGCCTTAAGCGATAGGGAGAATATCGGTTTCTGTTTTAAATTAAAACACTTTCAAATGTTCTCTTGTTAATTACTCTCAAATCTGGTACATATATGTGTGTGATATTCAAAATTACTTTAAAATTTTTAATTGATATCGTTTTTTTTCGATTGATGATAAAGTTAAACGTCCATATCGATATTGAATATAAATTGAATTGACAAAGAACTAGTGTGTTTATTTGGTAATAGAGATTTTAAAAAGATCGAGAGATATCTTAGAATTTCATTGAGTCTAGATATAGATTATTCATCAATATAGTACAGTTGCCAAGGAATCTATACTTCTTAACGGGCTTTATCAGAGAAGATAGAATATTGTTACTTCTCACCACTCAACTCGACTTGCATTTCTAAATATCATTCAATATTCAGTCATTACTGCCAGCAACCCCGTTTTTCATCGATAGAAGACCATATTTAAAAACAGATACTATTCTGGCTAGCTCATCTGCTAGTTCATTTCCATAGTGCCGGTTCACACAGAACAATTTTTGACTTTGTTAAAGAAAATAGAAAAAAATATTACCATTCTTCCATTGATTCTTTCCTGGAAACTCAAAAAACGTGAGCTACAAAGTGTGAACTGGTACATAATAGGACCCAAACTAAGGTAATGTCAGACCGACAAATCAAACAGATCTTATGTTATCTGACCAATAGAGTTGTGATGGATTGTATTCAATGACTATTGAGAAACAAATTTCAATATTGCGACGAATACTGGAGTCGTATTGTACCTTTTATGCTGTTATTTATACTATCAAATGGCGATGCCCTAGAAAGAAATCAATTTAAAACTTTTAGGTATTCTGTTATAGGATGGAATTAAAAAAAATGACTTTAACAATCAAATTTGATTAAATAGTATTAGAAAACTGTCATATTTTGACAGATTTAGTGCCAAGTCGTGCTTTTTCATAGGAATTCCATATCACTCGGAATTTATTTTGTCACTAGGTGTATAAAAATTATTTTTGAATAATTTTTCTCTAACAAAACTTGTTTATTAAGAATGCATATAAAAACTCCCTCGATTTCTCTTTTAACAGATCGATATGGAAGCTCCAGAATTTCGTGATTTTGCCAAGAACATGGTTGATTATATAGCTGATTATTTGGAAAACATTAGAGACCGGTAAGTAAAAAAAAACAAATACAAACTTTAACAAATTGAAAAAATAAATAAATTAAAACCAAACCGACCGGTTTACAACAGGTGTTACTTTATTAGAATGCAAAATTTCAACAAAAAAAAAAAAAGAGCAATAAATTATGCAATAAATTCTTATAAAATTTACTTTCATTAAGGAAATCTTGAATGAAATAATGTTATTGAGTAAAGTGAAAAAAAAACGGAAATGAAAGTTATTAAACTGGATGTTAATGAATTTTCGTTAAAAGTTTTGTAAAGGGCATTTACTTTTAAAACAAAAATTATTAATTTAAAAAAAAAAACAGTTAATACTTTATTAGTCATTTTGATCTGGTTTAAATGTAATCTAGAAAAAACCCAACTAATTGCTAATTTACTGGTTTCAATACGACAAATAACGCAATCTACCAATATAAAAAAAAAATCCCCATAATGCTTGAAAGATTTTTTCTTCCACCAACTTTCAGATTTTATTTTTTATTAGCCAAACATGTACACGTACTTGAAATACGATGGATTTCAATATTTTGTTTTTAATTTTTGTTTAATTACAATTGTGTTTAAACATTTTCAAAAAAAAAAAAAAAATTATAACAATTTAACAATACAATTCTGTTGTCTATGTCAAGGTTTTTTTGGTTAAAAAGAAACTTTATGTATTAGTATGTATTTATAATGTTGTAGCTTTTATTGTGGCAAGTTAAGGTTAAAGTATCTATGTATGACTGTATCTGGTAGATTAGCAGTATATAAATTCATTCTACTTGTGGATTTACTTTATTTTATTGTGTGTATCCGTAAAGTTATTTTCTACATAATCATGCGATTTATTACCTTGACAGTTAAGTAGAATGGAGTGAGTGTATGTTTCTGATTTAAGGGTAGTACCAAAGTAAATTAATAAAGTAGCATCACTTGAACAGCTGACTATTTTTTTTAAACTAGATAAATTAAGCAAATTGTCAAAGTTTGTTTTGAAAATTGTTAACATTGTTTACGTCGCCATTTTTAAATTGTGTTTTGCTATTTGTTAAAATTTGTGAAAAGTTTAAAAAGTGAATTAAAAGTGGTTTTAAAGTAGTTTAAAAGTGTAATAAATTGTATAATATATAATAATATAATTAAATCGTTAATATCTTTAGCTTAAAAGTAATATTTTTTATTTATGTTTTGTTCACATTGTTTTTCAAGGAAATTTTATTTTGACACAATCTTAAATTTTCCAAAAACAAAATACATGTGGTTGTTGTAGATGTTGTTGTACAACAAGAGATGTCGCTACTTTATTAATATACTTTGGGTAGTACATGTAAATTATTTTAGAAGGGGGAAATGAAAGTGAAGTAGTGGAGATATGTATATGAGATTTAATGAGATTAAACGAAAGGGATTGTGGTCAAATGTTGTGGTTTTATATTCCTAATAGAAATAGCCGTAATCCTTTACGTGGTTAGTTATTTATTTAGTTAGTTAGTTACTTACTTAGTTACTTAGTCAGTTAGTTAGTTAGTTAGTTAGTTAGTTAGTTAGGTAGTTAGTTAGTTAGTTAGTTAGTTAGTTAGTTAGTTAGTTAGTTAGTTAGTTAGTAGTTAGTTAGTTAGTTAGTAGTTAGTTAGTTAGTTAGTTAGTTAGTTAGTTAGTAGTTAGTTAGTTAGTTAGTTAGTTAGTTAGTTAGTTAGTTAGTTAGTTAGTTAGTTAGTTAGTTAGTTAGTTAGTTAGTTAGTTAGTTAGTTAGTTAGTAGTTAGTTAGTTAGTTAGTTAGTTAGTTAGTTAGTTAGTTAGTTAGTTAGTTAGTTAGTTAGTTAGTTAGTTAGTTAGTTAGTTAGTTAGTTAGTTAGTTAGTTAGTTAGTTAGTTAGTTAGTTAGTTAGTTAGTTAGTTAGTTAGTTAGTTAGTTAGTTAGTTAGTTAGTTAGTTAGTTAGTTAGTTAGTTAGTTAGTTAGTTAGTAGTTAGTTAGTTAGTTAGTTAGTTAGTTAGTTAGTTAGTTAGTTAGTTAGTTAGTTAGTTAGTTAGTTAGTTAGTTAGTTAGTTAGTTAGTTAGTTAGTTAGTTAGTTAGTTAGTTAGTTAGTTAGTTAGTTAGTTAGTTAGTTAGTTAGTTAGTTAGTTAGTTAGTTAGTTAGTTAGTTAGTTAGTTAGTTAGTTAGTTAGGAAATAGGGATGTACTTTTAATATAAAAATGCATCTAATACTCCATCGCTGTTCACTCCTTTATCAGCCCCTCTGGTCGCAATCTAACCATGACATCCTGTCTGGCAGACTAGCACACTTACTTCTTAACATTCCGGAGTAGGTACAATTGGCCTCCAAATCGATTTTAAAAGAATTCACATTTTTTTTTTAATTAATTTAAAATGTTTATAAAAATATCAAAACTTTTTGACACAGATCCAGATTACAAAACAAAGAATAATTTACAAAATATTAAATACCGAGGTCTACACAATTTGTTTATATGATCCGAATTTATCCATCATTCCTTCGAGATAGCTCAGCATAAAGTTGGAAAATCTAGTTTTTCGACATTTTTGGGTCGAAAAACTGGAACCGAAGTCAACATTGCAACCTTGGTGAGATATTTAGGTCTGAACTACATGATATCTTGAGATTTCTCACGTCTACAGGCTGAGTCTAATATTATACAACACTACATGTGACGAGTGGAGTGGTTCTGTCAAAACGATAACCAACCAAGTTCGCTAATAAATGCCTAATACTATTTCGGATCAAACATTATGATCATTACGAATTTTTTTTATATTTTTGGGAATACATATTATATTTCCCTAAACTCTCCCAATAAGTCCTTATCGAGCCAAAAACAGTATCATATCCGAACACAAATTCTTCTTAATAGAAGTCTTAAGTAAACTTCTGGATATTTTAACAATTATGTAGTTCAAAGTTTTTTAATATTTATTGTTATTATTCTATTTACAGTCGTGTTTTACCCGATGTTAAGCCAGGTTATTTGCGTCCCCTCATACCCGAAACAGCACCTGAGAAACCCGATACCTGGGAAGATGTTATGAAAGATATAGAACGTGTCATCATGCCAGGTGTAACACACTGGCATAGTCCTAAGTTTCATGCCTACTTTCCTACAGCCAATTCATATCCAGCTATAGTAGCTGATATGTTAAGTGGAGCCATAGCATGCATAGGTTTTACTTGGGTAAGTAGCCTGTAATGCGCTGAAATGGATTATGAAAATAACAAAATGTTTTATATTTCTATTACAGATTGCCAGTCCCGCTTGTACAGAATTGGAGGTAGTGATGCTGGATTGGTTGGGTAAAATGTTGGAATTACCCAAGGAATTTTTAGCCTGTTCTGGTGGTAAGGGAGGCGGTGTTATTCAGGGTACTGCTAGTGAGGCCACATTGGTCGCTTTATTGGGCGCTAAGGCCAAGAAAATACAAGAAGTTAAGAAAGAACATCCTGATTGGGATGACAACACTATTATTTCGAAATTGGTGGGTTATAATTCAGCTCAGGCACATTCTTCCGTAGAACGCGCTGGTCTATTGGGTGGCATTAAATTGAGATCAGTACCAGCCGATGAACATAATCGCTTAAGAGGTGATGCCTTGGAGGCAGCTATTAAGAAGGATTTGGAGGATGGTTTGATACCATTTTATGTGAGTTATTCTTTAAACAATTTGCTTAGAATATTTGTTAAACATAATTTTATTGTTAAATTTTTAGGCTGTTGTTACATTGGGTACCACCAATTCCTGTGCTTTTGACCGTTTGGATGAATGCGGTGTAGTGGGTAATAAATACAATGTGTGGGTCCATGTAGATGCCGCCTATGCGGGTTCCGCTTTCATTTGCCCCGAATACAGACATTTAATGAAGGGCATCGAAAGAGCCGATTCTTTTAATTTCAATCCCCATAAATGGATGTTGGTTAACTTCGATTGCAGTGCCATGTGGCTTAAAGATCCCAGTTGGGTAGTGAATGCCTTCAACGTTGATCCTTTATACTTAAAACACGATATGCAAGGTTCAGCTCCCGACTATAGACATTGGCAAATTCCTTTGGGCCGCCGTTTCAGAGCCCTAAAATTATGGTTTGTTTTGCGTCTTTATGGTGTGGAAAATCTTCAAGCTCACATACGTCGTCATTGCAATTTCGCCAAACAATTTGAACAACTTTGCCGAGCAGATGATCGTTTCGAAATTGTGGGTGAAGTAAATATGGGATTGGTGTGTTTCCGTTTGAAAGGCTCGAATGAATTGAATGAGACCCTATTGAAACGTATTAATGGTCGTGGTAATATACACATGGTACCCGCCAAAATACGTGATGTTTACTTTTTGCGTATGGCTGTTTGTTCTCGTTTTACCAAAACCGAAGATATGGAATACTCCTGGAAAGAAGTAAGTGCTGCCGCCGATGAAGTTCTTAAACAGTAAAGTGTTCTAAAGGCAAATCGACTGGAATGTTAGCGACAGTATTTTTTGTTAATGTAAAGATTTTAAATGTGTCACTGTTACTGTTTATTTTAAAAACATAATGGGACCAATTGCAACATATTTAGGGAATTAAATGTGCTTCATTAAGTTAAATAATACATACATATATTTTTTTAGATTTTAAGCTGTTAAATAATTTAATTAAACTGCATACTATGCAGATATAGTTAATTAATATCAATGTTGTTAATTAGTTTAAATGGGACACCTTTTAAATTATAATATATTTACTTAACTATTTAATAAACAAATTCAAATACTCTCTCATAATATAGTTAAAGAATTCAAAATAATAAATGTAAATTAAAAATAAAACAAATAACTTGTGTCTACTATAAATATCTTACATATATTCGACTGAACTTTAATTGCAAACTATTAACTGGATTATAGTTTAGACTAACATTTACACTATATATGAACAAGACTAAAGAATAGACTATAGTTCCGGCTAAATACAAGACGATTGACCAGATTGTGGACGAAACTACAGCGCAGTCTCTAGTTAAGACTATAAACTAGAATCTAGTCTAGCCTAAAGAATTGACCATAGAAATAATAGATTAGATTATTGGACGAAACTACAGTCTCTAGTTAAAACTATAAACTAGAATCTAGTCTAGGCTAAAGAATTGACCATAGAAACAATAGATTAGATTATTGGTCTAAAATCCAGTCTATAAACTGGACTATAGACTGGATTATAATAGTAAGACTAGACTATAGTCCAGATCAAATACTAGGCTGCAGTAGAGAATAAAGACTAGACTATAGTGCAGACTATAGACTGGAATAAAGTCCAGACTATAGACTACTGTAAAGTCCAGATTCTGGACTACACTATAGTCCAGACTGCAGACTACACTACAGACTAAACTATAGTCCAGACTGTAGACAGATTATAGTGCAGACTACATACTATAGACCAAATTATAGTCCAAACTATAGAGCAAATTATAGTCCAAAATATAGAGTAGACTATAGCCCAGATTATATACTAGATTTTAGTTATATAAAAACAACTGTTTAGGATATATATTGGACTATAATTTACAGACATAACAAACTATCTAGACTATAGTTTGTATTATAGACTATAGTTTTTACTATAAACTAGAATATATAGTAGACTAGGCTGTAGTCCAGATTATGGACTAGACTGTAGCCCATACCATAGTCCAGAATATAGACTATTTTATAATTGTCTACACTATGGGATAGATAGAATACTAGAGTATAGTCCATAGACCATACTTTAAAATATTGGTTAAACTTTAATTCAGACTCTTAACTAGACTGTAATGCAGGCTATAGACTAGAGTATAATCCAGGCCATATACTATTTTTTAGTTCAGATTTATGCTTATGTTAGCAAATAATGAAACTTAACATACTATCTATAGTTTGTTTGACTATAGTTTGTACTATAAACTGGACTATAGTCCTAACTATAGATTAGACTACAGTGAAGTTTATAAACCAGACAATAGTCTAGACTATGGACAAGACTGTAGTTCAGACCATAGTCCAGAGTGTAGACTATTTTATAGTTATCTACACTATAGGACAGATTGTAGACTAGCCTATAGTCCATACACCATACTATAGTTTAAAATATTGGTTAAACTATATTTAAACTCTTAACTAGACTGTAGTGTAGGCTATAGAATAGACTATAATCCAGGTTACAGACTAATTTATGGTCCACACTATAGTCCAGATTTATGTGTGCAAATAATAAAACTTAAAGGCTACAGCGCACATGAGTTCAGCTTGTATGCTAGACTAAAGTTGAGAATACTGACTAGACTGTAGGCCAAACTGTATATATGTTATAGTCTAGACAATAAACTAGTCATAGATAATACAGACTATAATAGACCTTATTCCAGACTTATGGTTTTGGTAGCAAATAGTAAAACATAACAAACTATACTATAGACCACTTTCATCTTACGAAAACAAAAAGTAAGAGTTAGTTAAAGTATTTAAATAAAACTTAACAATTTTATTACACTTTTTTTATCATTTAATTATCCATCATGAATTTAATTATAATTAAGAATAAATAATCAATTAATTAAAACTTATACTAAATAATTTTAAGTGAAAAATTTTAAATTTTATTATTACAGTTATTTTTGGTATAATAATCAATTATACGTTGAGCCTCTCTTATACCACTCATTCTAGCACCATCAATTGTACCAAAACCATTTACTATAGTAGCATCACCGGCAAACAATAAACTGGGCGTCATGCCCAATGGTAGGGAGAGAGTTTGTATATCACGCACACTGCTGTTGGTGGAAAAGTATGGACGACCACCTAGATAACAGGCACTACTACCCCAATTTGAGCGTAATACCTCAGAGGGATAGGGAATTTTCGCATTTTTTAAACATTTTCTAAGGAGTTTTGTAATTTCATTCACCAGCTCGTTATCGGGTAGCTTTTCAATTTGATCATAGAAAGCACCGCCAATTGTGATTTCTAATACCCTATTGCTGGAGGGTAATTTTGAAATCTCCACCACTTGCTTAGTCCATTTGAGATCAGCAGCACGTTCCTCCGCAGACCACAGGGGACGCAAACTTGTGGAAAACCATGTTTTTATATGTTTTGGATATTCAAAATAAATTTTAACCGGACTGCCAAAGCCGATATTCTCTATGGATTTTATTTTCTCAGGTGGTAAGGCGGGCTTAAACATATAACCCGAAAAGGTTTTTAATACGCCCAATGGCAAGGTACATATTATATGATCCGCTGGTATAACCGAACCGTCTAAACAATTCACCTGTGACTTGTGTATATCCTTATTGGGTCCATACCATTTTATTTCACCCACTGGCTTTTCAATGTGCAAATGTTCTCCATTTATATTGGCAACAATTTCCTGTAAAATACTATCCAAACCGCTGGGTATATATAGGGGATAGGAAAACTGATTTTTAAATTTAATTAACTGTTCAACATTGAGGTTCTCTAGGTTACAACCCAATTTGCCACCATACTCTTTCATAAAGGCGGTGAAAATATCTCCCACTAATTTACGATCATTTTCCTTAAACATGCTTTTAATGATTTTGGAGGTTTCGGCTTGAAAATAGGTATGCACATTATCCAGTTCGTGGAGGTGACCTTTTTTGTAACGATTTTTCAATTCAATGCCAGCACATAGTTTCTTAAAGTACACATCTACTACATCGGGTATGTGCTTGGAGATTTTTTCACCTCTAGTGTCTACATACAGAGTTTCCGCTTTCTGTTCGATCTTTTTGGGTAAACCAGGAGCATGTCGCAGCAGTTCATAGATGGAATTTTGCGACACATCTATATTTATATATTTGGCGCCCAGTTCACAAAAAGCATCACCAAATTGTTTGGAATTGATGCGGCCACCATAACGATTGGTGGCCTCCAATATGATGGTGCGTTTAAAGCCATGTTTAATGAGATGATTTGCTGCCGACAGACCTGCCAAACCTGCTCCAATTATTACAGTTTGTACATCATTTATAGATTTTGCCGCATTTAAAGTACTTGGTGGTACTTCGGTTTTTAGCACTGTGGCATTGAATATTTTACGTTGTACACTTTTGAAGCTGTAAGATATTGAAGCAAAAGTAAATTTTTTTATAATAATTATCCTCATGAGTCTATAATTATCTAATTAAATCACTTCTATTAAGAACACTACTAGAACAAATTTTATTTCCTCTCCCCCCCCCTTTACATCCGTTTCCTACCATAATGCAAAAACAATAATAAGTTTTTCTCAAAAGAACTTAATTTCCTCTATACTTACCATTGCATGGCAGGCTGTTTATGGCTTAAAATTGTTTTCACTTAAAACTAAAAATGTTATCTGAAATATTATTTTCAAATTTTTAAATCAGTTTTTTTCCAAACTATTTTGTAAATAAAACAAATATATATTATTTATTTTTACTTCTTTGCTTTTGTCAAATTGTTCTTTTCTAAACTAAAGACAGCTGTTCTTGACAGCCAGTGTCGCCAGATGTGGCGATTTCATGTTTTATTTGGGGGAAAATTTGCGTATTTTATTTTTTATTGCGCCATCTATGTTTCATTAGTATAATGACAGTGTTAGAGTATACACTAAATTTCCACTAAACTACTGGTTAATAGATGGCGCCACTAACTTTCTAGTTCTGTAAAATTGTTCAAATTATTATATTAGGGTTTCCAATAAGAATATTATAATATACATATATAAAGGACTAAGGTTCTATAAATCGACTTTAGAATAATCGAACAATCGACTTTTTGTCGAAAAAAGTCGAAGTCGACTATTTTGTTACAAAAAAGTCGATAACTCGACTATGGTCTGTGAAAGTCGAAAAAAGTCAAAAAAAGTCGAAAAGTCTGAAAAAGTCGAAAAAAGTCGGAAAAAGTCGAAAACTCGACAATTGTAGAAACAAATCAAAAATAGTCGAAAATCTTAAAAAAAGTGGAAAAAAAGTCAAAAACTCTAAAATGGTCGGAAAAACTCGAAAAAAGTCAAAAAATAGTCGAAAAAAAGTCGAAAGAAGTCGAAAATAGTCAAAAAGTCAAAAAAATCGAAAAGTCGGAAAAATTCGAAAAAAATCGAAAAGTCGAAAAAAATTGAAAAGTCGAAAAAATTCGAAAAAAGTCGAAAAGTCGACTATTTATAAAATACTTATAGTCGAAAAGTTTAAAAGTCGACTTTTAATTAAATGAAAAAAGTCGAAAAATCTACTTTTCATAAAATGCAAAAAGTCGAGAAGTCGACTTTTAACTAAATGAAAAAAGTCGAAAAGTCGACTTTTCGTTTCAACTATAGAACCCTATAAAGGACGCAAACGTAAGTCTCTACTCTTTTAATAAAACCCTCAGAAAGATCGGGGAACTCAAACCTTAAATGTGCACTGGATGTACAGAGCGTTCATAAACAGACCTATGGCTGACTGGTCTGGTCAAAGGCGACGGAAATGAAATCACATAAGTCTATTTTACATAAATATTTGAAGGTAATGTTAAAAAGACCTTCCGATACTGAATACCAACAAGAGAATAGTCGAAAAATTCAGATTATGCCCTGGCTCTGACTTTTACGGGAAAGGATTTTGACTCTCATGGTTGTTGATAGAATCTCCTTAAGGCTCCAACAGGGAACTACATGATTCTTATACCCTTCACTTTCGTGAGAAGGGTATATATAAGTTTGTCATTCCGTTTGTAATTTCCAAAATATAATTTTCCGATCCCATAAAGTATATATATTCTGAATCCTTATAGATAGCGGAGTCGATTAAGCCATGTCCGTCTGTCTGACTGTCTGTCCGTCTATCTGTTAAAATCAGTTTTCTGAAGACCCCAGATATCTTCGGGATCCAAATCTTCAATAATTCTATCAGACATGCTTTCGAGAAGTTTCCTATTTAAAATCAGCAAAATCCGTTCATAAACAACAGAGATATAAGCAAAAATCCGTGACAACCTCTGAAAATTTCATAAAAAATAAACAACAACAACACTGCTTATTCATTGCCTTTGTATTTTGTTTTTGTTTTTTTGAGTATTTCGTTTCGTATGTTTGGATGGCTGTGTGTTTCATTGCCTTGTGTATATTGTTTTTGTTTCTTGGTGCATTCAATTTCGTATGTTTGGATGGCTGTGTGTTTCATTGCCTTGTGTATATTGTTTTCTTGGTGTATTCGTATGTTTGGATGGCTGTTGGTTTCATTGCGTTGTGTATTTTGTTTTTGTTTTTTTGTGTATTTCGTTTCGTATGTTTGGATGTCTGTTGGTTTAACTGCCTTGTGTATTTTGTTTTTTGTGTGTTTATATCGTTTAGCCTTGTTGTTGTTCATTATGTTTTGCTATTGCTATAATAATGATATACCTAGTCGGGAAAATGAGTTTTTAAATACACTATGGTGAAGGGTATATAAGATTCGGCACAGCCGAATATAGCACTCTTGTTTCTTATTGTATAGTTTACCTATGCAAAGTGGGTCACAATCAAAAATGTTTGGAAATAAATCTGGAATTTCTAAACATCGCTAAATCGAGAGCCTTTTGTTTTAATTAATTCCAATTAACCAAATGTGTAGCATATTTTAAGGCCTTTAATAATAACATATTATTATTTGCAGTTCAATTTTAAATTTTCACATGACCTCGTAAAAACAAAATCTAAACAAAACTGATCAAAACAAAATTAAACAACAAATATTTGGTAATAAATTTGTGTAAACAATGACGTCAGAGTCATATAAAATTGCATACAATTCATTAAAATTTGGGGGTCAACACTAATAAAGACATCACATAAATTTTTGAAATGAAAACAATTTAATATTCAAATACGAAAAATTGAATTTAAATATTAAAAGAACTAAAAATTTGTATTATCATTATTTTTTGAATGCAACAGCATAAAATATGAATTCACCTTAAAACGCATAATAGCTCTTTGTTGTTATTGTAATGGTTAATGGGTGCAATAAAATTTTCATAATTTTACACAATTAATTATTATAGAGTGTCGCTGTGTATTGTAAATTACAGACTAAATCAAATTTTGATAAAGAAATAGAGTAGACAATAAAAATTACAAACAAACAATGGTTAAATACAAGTATATATTTATTTAATAAACAATTTTAATAGTTTAACACTCTTTAACAATAATTTTTCATTGACATTGAGATCTACTTCATCATCATCACCATAGTCGGCAGTGTGTGGTGAAAATAATTTGTAAATTTTTGTTTTTTGCTGACCAAATCTTTTAAAGTCAAGTGGGGTTTCCGAAAAGTACTCAATACATTAGTGAATTGTAACAGCAACGGTTAACTTAAATCAACAGCGATTCGTAATAAAACTAAAATAAATAAAAAATTAAAAAAAAACATTCTTTAACATGGATATGGATCCAAATGAATTTCGGGAATTTGGTCAGGCTTCCATAGAATTTATAATCAATTATTTGCAAACTATACGAGAGCGGTAAGTCTGATGTTTAAATGAAAATTGTGTAAATCTCATTTGCCTTATTAAAATGTGTCCGTTTGTGTTTGCAGCAATGTTTTACCCACAACTACTCCATTTTCACTGGTTCAAAGTTTACCCAAGGAAATTCCGGAACAAGCTGAACATTGGAAAACTATTTTACACGATTTAGAACATATTATTTTGCCAGATTTAGCTCATTGGCAATCACCCCATTTTCATGCCTACTTTCCGTCCTCATCATCTGGAGGTTCTATTATTGGTGAATTACTTATAGCCGGTATAGGCGCTTTGGGTTTCAGCTGGGTAAGTGTGTGCTACATAATTTTTGAGAGCATTTGTTTTCTCTTAAAATTTTAAAAAAATTGCTTATAGAAAATTGACCACAGAGAAAATTCATTGAAATTTTTCTTTAGTCTATAATATAGTATACAGTCTAGCCTCCAGTCTAGTCTCTAGTCTAGTCAATATTCTAGTCTATACTCTAGTCTAGTCTATAGTCTATTCTATAGTCTAGTCTATATTCTAATTTATAGTCTAATCTATAGTCTTGGGTATAGTCTAATCTATAGTCTAGTTTATAGTGTTAGTTTTATGCTACTAACACCTTTTGCAGATTAGTTCAATCCTTCAGGCATTGTAAGCGAACAAAATTAAATACATTTAATTTTACAATTGGATAGGAATAATACTGATCTGAATCGAATGCTAGTTTTATGCTTTTCATTCAATTTTCCTATTGATATATTAGCATACAATCGGATGCTTTTTAATTTGTAATAACCTGAGTACTGCTGGGCTTTTAAGAACTAGAACAGAACTAGAACTAGAACAAAACGAGAACAGAACTAGAACAGAACTAGAACAGAACTAGAACAGAACTAGAACAGAACTAGAACAGAACTAGAACAGAACTAGAACAGAACTAGAACAGAACTAGAACAGAACTAGAACAGAACTAGAACAGAACTAGAACAGAACTAGAACAGAACTAGAACTGAACTAGAACAGAACTAGAACAGAACTAGAACAGAACTAGAACAGAACTAGAACAGAACTAGAACAGAACTAGAACAGAACTAGAACAGAACTAGAACAGAACTAGAACAGAACTAGAACAGAACTAGAACTGAACTAGAACAGAACTAGAACAGAACTAGAACAGAACTAGAACAGAACTAGAACAGAACTAGAACAGAACTAGACAGAACTAGAACAGAACTAGAACAGAACTAGAACAGAACTAGAACAGAACTAGAACAGAACTAGAACAGAACTAGAACAGAACTAGAACAGAACTAGAACAGAACTAGAACAGAACTAGAACAGAACTAGAACAGAACTAGAACAGAACTAGAACAGAACTAGAACAGAACTAGAACAGAACTAGAACAGAACTAGAACAGAACTAGAACAGAACTGGAACAGAACTGGAACAGAACTAGAACAGAACTAGAACAGAACTAGAACAGAACTAGAACAGAACTAGAACAGAACTAGAACAGAACTAGAACAGAACTAGAACAGAACTAGAACAGAACTAGAACAGAACTAGAACAAAACTAGAACAGAACTAGAACAGAACTAAAACAGAACTAGAACAGAACTAGAGCAGAACTAGAACAGAACAGAACTAGTCAAGTTCTATAGTCTAGTCTATAGTCTAGTCTATAGTCTAGTCTATAGTCTAGTCTATAGTCTAGTCTATAGTCTAGTCTATATAGTCTAGTCTATAGTCTAGTCTATAGTCTAGTCTATAGTCTAGTCTATAGTCTAGTCTATAGTCTAGTCTATAGTCTAGTCTATAGTCTAGTCTATAGTCTAGTCTATAGTCTAGTCTATAGTCTAGTCTATAGTCTAGTCTATAGTCTAGTCTATAGTCTAGTCTATAGTCTAGTCTATAGTCTAGTCTATAGTCTAGTCTATAGTCTAGTCTATAGTCTAGTCTATAGTCTAGTCTATAGTCTAGTCTATAGTCTAGTCTATAGTCTAGTCTATAGTCTAGTCTATAGTCTAGTCTATAGTCTAGTCTAGTCTATAGTCTAGTCTAGTCTATAGTCTAGTCTATAGTCTAGTCTATAGTCTAGTCTATAGTCTAGTCTATAGTCTAGTCTATAGTCTAGTCTATAGTCTAGTCTATAGTCTAGTCTATAGTCTAGTCTATAGTCTAGTCTATAGTCTAGTCTATAGTCTAGTCTATAGTCTAGTCTATAGTCTAGTCTATAGTCTAGTCTATAGTCTAGTCTATAGTCTAGTCTATAGTGTAGTCTATAGTGTAGTCTATAGTCTAGTCTATAGTCTAGTCTATAGTCTAGTCTATAGTCTAGTCTATAGTCTAGTCTATAGTCTAGTCTATAGTCTAGTCTATAGTCTAGTCTATAGTCTAGTCTATAGTCTAGTCTATAGTATATGATATGCCGATGATGTAGCACTTGTTATTTCCCATACTTTGCCACAAGCTCTGGAAATAATAACTAATGATAGCCTCAGCCGCTGCGATAGGTGGTTAAACGAGCATGGTCTGAAATTAGCGGCCGAAAAAACAGAGTCGATATTAATTAAAAATCGTAGATCGTTTATAGCTCCAAAACTAAGAATACAAGGTAAAAGTATAACCTTTAGCAAAAGTTTAAGATATCTTGGAGTTCTTCTAGATAATCGATTAAACTTCAATATACATGTACAGAACATTCGAGACAAAGCCCTAAAAACTGCAAATGTGTTAACAAAAATTATGCCAAATATAAACGGACCTAAAGACTCCACTAGGAAGCTCATAAACAGTGTAGTTCACTCACAAATGCTGTATGCAGCACCTATAATTGCATCAGCTTTGAAAAGAAAGTGTGTAATCACACAACTGTTAAAACCACAGAGAGTTAGTGCCCTAAGGGTAATATCAGCGTACAGAGCTGTGTCCACAAGTGCAGCTTTAGTTCTCTCCGGAATTCCACCCATTGACCTCCTTATATTGGAGCGAGAAGAAAAATGAGGAGATCTTTATATGAATATATTGGAACTATATTAACTCCGGTAAACATTGTTTCGGAAATGTTGAAATCCGAAGAAACGTGGATGAAGTGTCAAGATTTTATCACACATATAATGAAATGCAGATCTGATCGCAACGCCGAACCCCTAATCTCATGTGAGGATGGGGGAGTAGGATAGCGATATATAAAATCGTCTGCCCCGATGAAATGCGAAAGTGGTACCGGGGTGGGACGGGGAGGTATTCGTGGGGCCACTAGTTGATAGTGTACTATCACTACGTCCTATAAAAAAAAAAAAAAAAAGTCTAGTCTATAGTCTAGTCATAGTCTAGTCTATAGTCTAGTCTATAGTCTAGTCTATAGTCTAGTCTATAGTCTAGTCTATAGTCTAGTCTATAGTCTAGTCTATAGTCTAGTCTATAGTCTAGTCTATAGTCTAGTCTATAGTCTAGTCTATAGTCTAGTATAGTCTAGTCTATAGTCTAGTCTATAGTCTAGTCTATAGTCTAGTCTATTAGTCTAGTCTATAGTCTAGTCATAGTCTAGTCTATAGTCTAGTCTATAGTCTAGTCTATAGTCTAGTCTATAGTCTAGTCTATAGTCTAGTCTATAGTCTAGTCTATAGTCTAGTCTATAGTCTAGTCCTATAGTCTAGTCTATAGTCTAGTCTAGTCTAGTCTATAGTCTAGTCTATAGTCTAGTCTATAGTCTATAGTCTAGTCTATAGTCTAGTCTATAGTCTAGTCTATAGTCTAGTCTATAGTCTATCTATAGTCTAGTCTATAGTCTAGTCTATAGTCTAGTCTATAGTCTAGTCTATAGTCTAGTCTATAGTCTAGTCTATAGTCTAGTCTATAGTCTAGTCTATAGTCTAGTCTATAGTCTAGTCTATAGTCTAGTCTATAGTCTAGTCTATAGTCTAGTCTATAGTCTAGTCTATAGTCTAGTCTATAGTCTAGTCTATAGTCTAGTATAGTCTAGTCTATAGTCTAGTCTATAGTATAGTCTATAGTCTAGTCTATAGTCTAGTCTATAGTCTAGTCTATAGTCTAGTCTATAGTCTAGTCTATAGTCTAGTCTATAGTCTAGTCTATAGTCTAGTCTATAGTATAGTCTATAGTCTAGTCTATAGTCTAGTCTATAGTCTAGTCTATAGTCTAGTCTATAGTCTAGTCTATAGTCTAGTCTATAGTCTAGTCTATAGTCTAGTCTATAGTCTAGTCTATAGTCTAGTCTATAGTCTAGTCTATAGTCTAGTCTATAGTCTAGTCTATAGTCTAGTCTATAGTCTAGTCTATAGTCTAGTCTATAGTCTAGTCTAGTCTAGTCTTAGTCTAGTCTATAGTCTAGTCTATAGTCTAGTCTATAGTCTAGTCTATAGTCTGTCTATAGTCTAGTCTATAGTCTAGTCTATAGTCTAGTCTATAGTCTAGTCTATAGTCTAGTCTATAGTCTAGTCTATAGGTCTAGTCTATAGTTTGGTCTATAGTTTTGCCTATAGTCAGGACGGAAAGGAGAAACAAATAAACCTTTTTGTTAAACAGTGCTGTTATCTATATTTTAGTAATTTTTAAAATCAATTTATTACCACAAACTATTTAAAATTTCAAACAAGAATTGTATCAGAGTATAACATGGTTGTTAGCAGTAATATATTTTACACCGTTACCTTTTAGATAGAAATGTTAAAAAACTTTTAGTCCACTGTAATGTTATCTTAAAAATGAAGTACATACATATAAACTTTCCTCGCTGCACACATAACTATTAACATTTCTGTTTATTTAAAATTCACTCTCTGCATTTTTATATCTTTTTCTACAATTTATAAAAAGAGCCAACGAAAGTTAAAACCTTAATAGTCGTACTTAAACCATTCCAACGTTAAAAACTAAATTTAAAATTTTATATTCAAGATTTGGTTTTAAAAGAAATAAAACAAATAAAAACGAAAAAAAATATTAAGTGTGGAGTTAATATAAACATAAAAGCAATTAAAAAATGGATGCAAATACCTTCAGAGAATTTGGCAAAGCTGCTGTTGATTTTATAGCTGATTATATGGAAAACATTAGAGATTGGTATTTTTAAAGAAATTACCATAAATTATTTTTGAAGAACCTATTTAACACAAGTGTGATTTTTGTTTATTTTCTTTTGTTTGTTAAAACTAAAGTGATATTTTGCCAACGGTACAACCTGGTTATCTCTTCGATCTGTTACCCAAAGAAATACCCGAAAAACCCCAAGATTGGAAGGAAGTTTTACAGGATATTGATCGTATTATTAAGCCAGGCATTACACATTGGCAATCACCAAATATGCATGCCTACTATCCAACAGCCTCATCGTATCCCTCAATTGTGGGCGATATGCTGGCAAATGGTTTCAGTGTTATTGGTTTTAGTTGGGTATGTTTATGTACAGAATGTTATATGTAAAATAATTCAGTGAATTAATATAGAAAATTTATATAGAAATTTGATATACATGAATTGGAAATTTAAAACAAAAGTTATGTATATTTTTTTTAACTTGAAATATTTTTAAACTGAAAATTTATTATAGTCTAGCCTATGGTATATGGACCACATTAAAGGGCAGATTCGTCTATAAAATATTTTCCATCCCTGCTAGTCTAGCCTATAGGTCCAATTTATAGTCTAGTCTATAGTCTTGTCTATAGTCTAGTCTATAGGTCTAGTCTATAGTCTAGTCTATAGTCTAGTCTATAGTCTAGTCCTAGTCTATAGTCTAGTCTATAGTCTAGTCTATAGTCTAGTCTATAGTCTAGTCTATAGTCTAGTCTATAGTCTAGTCTATAGTCTAGTCTATAGTCTAGTCTATAGTCTAGTCTATAGTCTAGTCTATAGTCTAGTCTATAGTCTAGTCTATAGTCTAGTCTATAGTCTAGTCTATAGTCTAGTCTATAGTCTAGTCTATAGTCTAGTCTATAGTCTAGTCTATAGTCTAGTCTATAGTCTAGTCTATAGTCTAGTCTATAGTCTAGTCTATAGTCTAGTCTATAGTCTAGTAGTCTATCTATAGTCTAGTCTATAGTCTAGTCTATAGTCTAGTCTATAGTCTAGTCTATAGTCTAGTCTATAGTCTAGTCTATAGTCTAGTCTATAGTCTAGTCTATAGTCTAGTCTATAGTCTAGTCTATAGTCTAGTCTATAGTCTAGTCTATAGTCTAGTCTATAGTCTAGTCTATAGTCTAGTCTATAGTCTAGTCTATAGTCTAGTCTATAGTCTAGTCTATAGTCTAGTCTATAGTCTAGTCTATAGTCTAGTCTATAGTCTAGTCTTGTCTAGTCTATAGTCTGGCTATAGTCTAGTCTATAGTCTAGTCTATAGTCTAGTCTATAGTCTTAGGTCTATAGTCTAGTCTATAGTCTAGTCTATGTCTAGTCTAGTCTAGTCTATAGTCTAGTCTATAGTCTAGTCTATAGTCTAGTCTATAGTCTAGTCATAGTTAGTCTAGTCTAGTCTATAGTCTAGTCTATAGTCTAGTCTATAGTTAGTCTAGTCTAGTCTAGTCTATAGTCAGTCTATAGTCTAGTCTATAGTCTAGTCTATAGTCTAGTCTATAGTCTAGTCTATAGTCTAGTCTATAGTCTAGTCTATAGTCTAGTCTATAGTCTAGTCTATAGTCTAGTCTATATGTCTAGTCTATAGTCTAGTCTATAGTCTAGTCTATAGTCTAGTCTATAGTCTAGTCTATAGTCCTAGTCTATAGTCTAGTCTATAGTCTAGTCTATAGTCTAGTCTATAGTCTAGTCTATAGTCTAGTCTATAGTCTAGTCTAGTCTATAGTCTAGTCTATAGTCTAGTCTATAGTCTAGTCTATAGTCTAGTCTATAGTCTAGTCTATAGTCTAGTCTATAGTCTAGTCTATAGTCTAGTCTATAGTCTAGTCTATAGTCTAGTCTATAGTCTAGTCTATAGTCTAGTCTATAGTACTAGTCTATAGTCTAGTCTATAGTCTAGTCTATAGTCTAGTCTATAGTCTAGTCTATAGTCTAGTCTATAGTCTAGTCTATAGTCTAGTCTATAGTCTAGTCTATAGTCTAGTCTATAGTCTAGTCTATAGTCTAGTCTATAGTCTAGTCTATAGTCTAGTCTATAGTCTAGTCTATAGTCTAGTCTATAGTCTAGTCTATAGTCTAGTCTATAGTCTAGTCTATAGTCTAGTCTATAGTCTAGTCTATAGTCTAGTCTATAGTCTAGTCTATAGTCTAGTCTATAGTCTAGTCTATAGTCTAGTCTATAGTCTAGTCTATAGTCTAGTCTATAGTCTAGTCTATAGTCTAGTCTATAGTCTAGTCTATAGTCTAGTCTATAGTCTAGTCTATAGTCTAGTCTATAGTCTAGTCTATAGTCTAGTCTATAGTCTAGTCTATAGCTAGCCTATAGTCTAGTCTATAGTCTAGCCTATAGTCTAGTCTATAGTCTAGTCTATAGTCTAGTCTATAGTCTAGTCTATAGACTATTCTATAGTCTAGTCTATAGTCTAGTCTATAGTCTAGTCTATAGTCTAGTCTATAGTCTAGTCTATAGTGTAGTCTATAGTGTAGTCTATAGTCTAGTCTATAGTCTAGTCTATAGTCTAGTCTATAGTCTAGTCTATAGTCTAGTCTATAGTCTAGTCTATAGTCTATAGTCTAGTCTATAGTCTAGTCTATAGTCTACAGTCTAGTCTATAGTCTAGTCTATAGTCTACAGTCTAGTCTATAGTCTAGTCTATAGTCTAGTCTATAGTCTAGTCTATAGTCTAGTCTATAGTCTATAGTCTAGTCTATAGTCTAGTCTATAGTCTAGTCTATAGTCTAGTCTATAGTCTAGTCTATAGTCTAGTCTATAGTCTAGTCTATAGTCTAGTCTATAGTCTAGTCTATAGTCTAGTCTATAGTCTAGTCTATAGTCTAGTCTATAGTCTAGTCTATAGTCTAGTCTATAGTCTAGTCTATAGTCTAGTCTATAGTCTAGTCTATAGTCTAGTCTATAGTCTAGTCTATAGTCTAGTCTATAGTCTAGTCTATAGTCTAGTCTATAGTCTAGTCTATAGTCTAGTCTATAGTCTAGTCTATAGTCTAGTCTGTATTCTAGTCTGTAGTCAAGTCTATAGTCTAGTCTTTTGGCTAATCTATAGGCTAGTCTATACGCTAGTCTATAGTCTAGTCTTGCCTATATTCTAGTCTATAGTCTGATTATTGTTTAGCCTATAGTCTAGCCTAGAGTCTGGTCAATATTCTAGTCTATAGTCTAATCTATAGTGTAGTCTATAGTCTGGTCTATAGACTAGTCTATTTTCTAGTCTGCAGTCGAGTCTATAATTTAGTCTATTTTCATTTGGTCTAAAATTTTGAATATATTTCATATTGTATTGTGGATTATGGTTCCAAATTTTTTAAAAATAGATAATTTCATAAAAATCTTCTATAAAGAGAAAATGTTCATTAGATTTAATGAAAATCTTCGATAAATATACATATAGAATAACTATTTAACAAAGCATTTTCTATAACAGCAATATTAATTTGTAAAAAAAAAAATATATATTTTTGTCCATCAATATGAAATTACTTAAAAAACATTTCTTTGTTTAATGTTAATAAAAACAAAATACGCTTTTGTTAAACAAAATTATTGGTATCCCAGAAGAGAGAGAGAACTTTCACTGTTATGGTTTAAAACAAGTTTTCCATTCATTCACTTGATCTGTTTCAAGCATCTTCATCTCATGTCTTTAAAATCAATTAACACATCTTTTGGACAGTATTACCTACCATGTTGTTTGTGGTTGGCCCATAAACAACATCTGATTATAATATATACATACATATGTATACATATATTAGGTACATCTGTTTTTATTAATGTTTTAAATTTATGTGTGTGTTAAAAGTGTGAATTAATTAATTATATCTTTGACTTTTTATGATTTGTTTGAAACTAAAAGAAATGTTATTTTTATTATTATTTATTTTATAATATTATGCAAATTTTTAAGATTATTTAACACTTTTACTTTCCGATAAACAAAATTTGATAACTATATTTTTAATAGTTTGTATTTGTATGTTTTAAATTTATTCCTTTGTAAGTTATTATCATGCTAAAGTCTGTCACCGAATTCGTTTTTCATTTTTATTGTATAATACATTTTTTTAAAATAGGATAAACTTTGGGAATGTTTAACCAGTGATTAAAATTACTAATATATTAGTAACCAAAATGCATATTTTCTCCTATGCATACGTATGTAATATTAAAATATAAATATATTTTATGAATATAATATATTTAATTGCTCCCATTCGAAATATTTCTAGTATTTTTGCTAAAAATATTTACCCATACAAACTATTGCATATTACAGCTTACAGACAAATATAAAATGTTTTCACATACAATATATTACGCAGCAACTCGCTAACATATATATAATACCCACATATATTTCATATGGCTTGCCTATAATATTAAAATATTTTCCTACACAAATTATTCGAAGTCAACAATATTGAAGCCATGCAAGCAGTAATATACGAACATGAAATGTACGCAAGCAGAGCATATATGTGCCGACGAAAACACGAAACAAAACGATAGTCGCGACTATCAGGTTACAATATTTTTACTATCAAACTTAAATATTATTTACTATAGGAAATGACTTATGGTCTAAAATTTAACATTTCATGTTGAACTTGAAAAATTATAAAATGTGAAAAATGTATGCAAGATATAACCAAATTTTATTTAGAAAATAATTGAAAACGTTTATATCTATGTATGTTTTATGTATATTATGGGAAAAATGTATGCATAAAATAACCAAATTTTAATTAGAAAATTTTTGAATTGAATTATTGAATGTATGTATTTATTAAATTTATGTTTAATTTTTATGTGGAGTATTAAAATGTGTGTATTTGTATTGATTGTAATATAATTAGAAAAAATTATATAAATACTTAGAGGATCATATGAATGTAAAAATATATTCAAATATGCAACACCATTTATATCTGGTTTTGTATATACATATGTATGTATGTAAGTATGTGTGAAACAATAACAAAAAACACATTCGTCATAAAAATGACCTGTAACAGCACTTTTCTTTCCTACTTTTCACGCACATTCCATAACGGTGGATTACGATAGGTCATTTTTTGCTTTACCTTTGAATTGGTGGAGGGAAGAAGATATGTACGTGTGATGCAAAAATACATTCGTCATAAAAATGACCTGTAGTAGAACTCTCTCATGCAAATTCAAAAGGTTGGCAATGGCATATGCAAATTTATTAACACCTATATATTTTTTTCTTCGCGCCTGTTCATTCATTATTGTAAGATAATTGAGAGTATGTAATAATAATTTATAGAAATGTGACATATGTATATGTACATGCATATGAAAAACATACATGTATATGTATGTAATACACTCATACATTTTTGTTGTTTTAACCTTTCACAATGTAAAATTACAAAAACAACTTTTTATGTTTTTATGTCCCCTCTTAATTTTTTGCCATCCTGTTACAAATTTCTAAAATACCTATAATTTCCTTCATTATTGATCATTTCATAGACACTACTAATGCATTACTACCTGTTTACAAACTTATTGTTAGTGTTTCTTCTTTATATTCATATCATCCTGTTACAAACAATATGTTTAAATATAGCCTGTAAAAACAATTTTTTACATACATATATACATATTTGAATACGCCTGTCCCTCGATTTGCACGATAGATTCGCTCCCGAAAAAATAGTGTAAAACGAATTCAAAAAAATTTGTATGGAAAATCGTGTAAATCGAAAAAAATTACAAAAACTGGTATATATAGTATTTTTAATATACTTTTATTTGTTTTAATGTGAATAACATAACAAAGCAAACAAAAATAAACAATTCCATTTTATTTCACAACCAAAATAGTTATAAAATTCATAAAACTTAAAAATTAAATGCAATACAAATTGGAAAAAACCAAAAATATACATACAAAAATATTATGAGCAAAAAATTAAGCAAAAAAATAAGTTATATTCAACCAATTTCAGTATATGTACCTACATAATCGAGGAATCCCCTTTTAAATATCGTTGATTATTATCGTTATTTAAAAAAAACTGTTAAATAACCTGTACAATTTTAGTATTTATATTGTTTAAGTACACAAACGGGAAATTCCCTTTCTAATGCTATTATTAATGTTGCCAGAATAATATTTATTATCTGTATTTTTAATAAAATAGTTAAATATCAGTAAATAAATGTTGTTTTAGTTATTTATTTACAATAAATTGTGTCGAAAGCTTGTTTTCATTTAAATAAAAAAATCGTGCAAAACGAGATATTTTTCATCCCTCGATTTACACGAGAAATAAAAAATCGTGTTAAATCGAAATCGTGCAAAACGAGGGATAGGTGTATATTTTTACATTCATATGATCCTCTAAGTATTTATATAATTTTTTTCTAATTATAATACAATCAATACAAATACATACATTTTAATACTCCACATAAAAATTAAACATAAATTTAATAAATACATACATTCAATAATTCAATTCAAAAATTTTCTAATTAAAATTTGGTTATTTTATGCATACATTTTTCCCATAATATACATAAAACATACATACATAGATATAAACGTTTTCAATTATTTTCTAAATAAAATTTGGTTATATCTTGCATACATTTTTCACATTTTATAATTTTTCAAGTTCAACATAAAATGTTAAATTTTAGACCATAAGTCATTTCCTATAGTAAATAATATTTAAGTTTGATAGTAAAAATATTGTAACCTGATAGTCGCGACTATCGTTTTGTTTCGTGTTTTCGTCGGCACATATATGCTCTGCTTGCGTACATTTCATGTTCGTATATTACTGCTTGCATGGCTTCAATATTGTTGACTTCGAATAATTTGTGTAGGAAAATATTTTAATATTATAAGCAAGCCATATGAAATATATGTGGGTATTATAAATATGTTAGCGAGTTGCTGCGTAATATATTGTATGTGAAAACATTTTATATTTGTCTGTAAGCTGTAATATGCAATAGTTTGTATGGGTAAATATTTTTAGCAAAAATACTAGAAATATTTTGAACAGAACCATTTTTTAAATATGCATATTTTTAAATATGAGGTAAATGCATATTTATTGCAAAGTCAAAAATAAAAATATAAAAGCATCTACTAATATTTAAACTCTGTGTTTAACCCCGCCTAATTCATATCTACAGGATCCGAACTAAAAGCTTTAAATTCTACTAAAACAAGACCTAATGTTTGGATCTCTAGACCTTCAGGAACCGTGTTAATATTTTATTAGAATCTAACTAACCATTAAGGAGTTACATATTTGTTACCGTTTTTCGAAATTCTCACACTGTTTATCATAATATTGTCTTAGAAAGTGATTTTGAGTCAATCAATCCTTCAACAAAATATTTGTTGATCAAAATATCCAATACATATAAGCATTTTAACTGAAGCATAGTTCAATTTTGAAATTAAATTGACCGAAATTTGTTTTTCTTTCAGATTTGTAGTCCCGCTTGTACAGAACTCGAGGTTGTTGTTATGGATTGGTTGGCGAAATTTCTCAAATTACCTCAACAATTTCTCCATACTACCGATGGTCCCGGTGGTGGTATAATTCAAGGTTCTGCTTCTGAATCCGTACTGGTGGCTGTTATAGCGGCTCGAGAACAAACTGTACGTCGTATGAAAGAAAAGCATCCCGAAATGACAGAAAGTGAAATTAGAGGAAAACTGGTGGCCTATTCCAGCGATCAGAGTAATAGTTGCATTGAAAAGGCTGGAGTGTTGTCAGCGGTACCCATACGTCTGTTGCCAGCTGGCGATGATTTGATTTTCAGAGGAGAAATGTTGCAAAAAGCATTAGATGAAGATTTGGCCAAAGGTTTAATACCTATTATTTGCATTGCCACTTTAGGTACGACCGGTACCTGTGCATACGATGACATCGAGTCTTTGGGTAAAATTTGTAATCAACATGATCTGTGGTTACATGTTGATGCTGCGTATGCTGGTGCTGCGTTTGCTTTGGAAGAGTTTTCAGAGTTGAGAAATGGTCTGGAAATGGTTGACTCCTTGAATTTCAATTTACACAAATTTCTTATGGTCAATTTTGATTGTAGTGCCATGTGGCTAAAGGATGCTAATAAAGTGGTCGACAGTTTTAATGTAGATCGCATCTATTTGAAGCACAAATATGAGGGTCAAACACAAATACCTGATTTCAGACATTGGCAAATACCTTTGGGTAGACGTTTTAGAGCTCTTAAAGTATGGATTACATTCCGTACTGTTGGTGCCGAGGGCTTAAGGGCTCACATACGTAAGCATATGGCTTTGGCAGAGAGATTTGAAAATTATGTACTATCCGATCCACGCTTCGAGGTGGTAACTAAGAGAACACTTGGTTTGGTTTGCTTCCGGCCCAAAGGTGAAAATAAACGCACTACCGATTTGTTGCATTATATTACTGAACGTAAGAAAATCTACATGATACAGGCCAAACATGCCGGTAAACATTTCTTACGTTTTGTTGTTTGCGGCATGGATCCCAAGGATGAAGATATTGATTTTGCTTGGAAAGAAATACAATCACAAATGGATATTGTTTTAGAGAAAGAGCAAGAACTTCTGATAGCATCTGTTAAGCCAGATATCACATCGATAAGTCAACAAATAACCTCAGATTTACATATAACAGCAACAATGGATAATGAAAAATCTAAATAATAATATAATGTATTTTTTAGTTTTAAAATTTATTTATTTTAATAAAAAAAAAAAATTATTAAAAAACAAGTTAGAGTGCTATATAAGGATATGCTGAATCTCCCCCTATAAGCTACTTATTATCAAAACCCCTCTAAATATTTTTAGATACATATTTAAAAAACACATTCATTTAAGTCGATTTTAAGTTCTGAACTTGGACCTCATGGGCCTACCAGGGAAATGGACAGAGGTCCCCAAAGTAAGACATCTTGGGTATGTACAATTTTTAAAACGATTATATCTCTTCGTTTATCGTCCGATTTCAAAAGAATTATTATAAATGAAATCTGCTATAAATTGTCTTTTAAATAAATTTATTAATTTTTTTACAATGCAATAACAATAATTTTTTCTATTTGTCATAAAAAAATGTAGAAAAACAAAATAATTTTTTTTAAGATATTCAAGGATAAAGGACATTTTTTCACTTTATGGTCCTTGTTCCAGGACTTAATGTAATTTTAATGAAATGTCAAAAACAAGTAATCGAAGTACTGTCGAACAAAACATTATTTGTTTAAATCAGATAACTGGTTCCAAAGTTATTTAGTCATCAATATTTATAATTTTGAACAAAAGTACCCGATATGCCCACTTTAGAGACCCATAAAATATGAACCTTATAAGATCCAATATATACGCCATAGAAACTGCAAATAAGAGTAGAATATAGGTTTCGAGTTATAACTAAATCGAAAAGGTTGCCAATTTTACGTAATTATGAATAAGTACAGAGTTGTGTTTCGTGAAATTTATTCATAAAATGGCAGCAATATAGCACCAATAAACGTCAGTCGGGGAATTACGCATAATTTAATGACAAATGGAATATCCCGGGTTTATTTTATATTGTTACGAAATTGTATTTGCGTTTAAACTAAACGGATTTTAACAGCCTGTTCTTGGTGACCAACATTTGGTTGGTAGCACTAAATCGTTAAAGGGCCCTTCAGACGATCACACTTTACGTACGACAAGTCTAATGAAAAAGTAAAATGAAATTCCATCCGTATGACAAAAAAATAGAATAAAAGTCGTAAAATTTATATTTTTTGTATATGATGGAAACAGCTGTTTCACTTCTTTTGCATGTGTTTATATAAAAATGCAACCCTGATCTAATGCGACTTGCTTGTTTTTTGAATCATTTCAAAAAATGAAGAGAACCATTCAACTGTCAAATTTTTTATCCGTATTTTCTCTCAATGTGATGATTTCGTTACATATTGCGTTTAAACGATCACATCCGATTTCTTCAACACAAAATTTTGACAGATCATATTACTTGTGTGCACGTGTCAAGGGGCCTTTAGATGTACCAGAAAATGTATGCCAGAAATATTCGGAAGGTGTCGCTAGAATGTCCTAGAAATGTCTAGAGGTGATGCCTACGCAGCGCTGTCAACTTAGTGCTTTTAACACTGTTTTAGTGCTTTTAACAAACAAATTTCAAGTTAGTGCATAGTGCTTTTTTTAGTGTCTTTTTAAAAAATATTGGTGGAACTAAATTGAACATCGAAACTGTAATTTTTGTTATGGGAAATATACAACAATTAGTTATGAAACATTTTGAAAAACATAAGATAAGATAATTTTATAGAAATTATTAAAAAAAATTCTTCAGAAATTATATTAGAGTACACAGAAAAAACTGAAAAACGATTTCAATTACCAAAACTTCGTTTCAATAATTTTATTCATTAAAGTTCAACCAATAACAAAAACTGTATATTCAATTACTATTTCTTTTTCATTTTTGTTGTTGTTTAAAACGTATTTGAGTTTACAATTTCATGATTCAAATAAAATTTTTGATTAATCGTTTTATTGAAAAAAATTTTTTTCTGTGTATATTTTGTCCGTGTTTTCGTTTAATATTAGAAAAAAACAGATTGGCATTAAGACTAAATTATTTTTTTCCAAATATGTATATGTATGTAGTACATACTATGTACATATGTATAACCTGATTATAGACGAGCTTGTCCTTTTAACAATTGATATGGTTCAAAATTGTCACCCTATAAATACCCTAGTTTTAGATAACTTATTCATTTTCTTTTAAACAGTTCTATAATCAGAAATTTATATTTCGATAACATATTAAACTAGAACCGAACTAAAAAGAAACTGAACTAAAAGAACTAAAAAGAAATGTTTGAATAAAATTTTGCAATTATCAAATAAATAAGTTTTCAATAATTTTTATACCTTTCACCTTCGTGAGAAGGGTATATATAAGTTTGTCATTCCGTTTGTAATTTCTATAATATAATTTTCCGACCCCATAAAGTATATATATTCTGGATCCTTATAGGTAGCGGAGTTGATTAAGCTATGACCGTCTGTCTGTCTGTCCGTCTGTGTGTTTGTTGAAATCAGTTTTTAGAGGACCCCAGATATCGGCGAGATCCAAATCTTCAATAATTCTGTTAGACATGCTTTCGAGAAGATCGCTATTTAAAATCAGCAAAATCGGTCCATAAATACCGGAGATATGAGCAAAAATCCGAGACAACCTCTGAAAATTTCATAAAAAAGACAATTTTTTTTCATGCTTTGATATACGCAACAACAACAACACTGCTCATTCATTTAGTATTTCGTTTCATGTGTTTGGATGGCTGTGTGTTTCATTGCCTTGTGTATATTGTTTTTGTTTCTTGGTGCATTCAGTTTCGTATGTTTGGATGTCTGTTGGTTTCATTGCGTTGTGTATTTTGTTTTTGCTTTTTTTTGGAGTATTTCGTTTCGTATGTTTCATTGCCTTGTGTATATTGTTTTTGTTTTTTGGTGTATTCAGTTTCGTATGTTTGGATATCTGTTGGTTTCATTGCCTTGTCTATTTTGTTTTTGTTTTTTGTGTATTTCGTTTCGTATGTTTGGATGTCTGTTGGTTTTACTGCCTTGTGTATTTTGTTTTTTTTTTTGTTTGTTTATTTCGTTTAGCGTTGTTGTTGTTCGTTTTGCTATGGCTATAATAATGATATAAACGGGAAAATTAAATAAACTAAAATTTTATAGAATTGATATTTTTAAATACACTGTGGTTCGGCACAGCCGAATATAGCACTCTTGTTTTTTATACCCTCCACCACCATCAGTGGGGATAGAGGGTATATATAAGTTTGTCATTCCGTGTGTAACACCAAGAAATATTGGTCTGAGACCCAACAAAGTATATATATTCTGGGTCCCTATGAAATTCTGAGTCGATTTAGCTATGTCCGTCTGTCTGTCTGTCTGGTTAAAACACGCTCACGTCAAAACTAAGCAAAAGAAATCAGCCAAATTCACTAAGAATATTCATTATTTTCCTAAGCAGTTTGGTATTGAAAATCAGCAAAATCGGTTCACAACGTAAAAAGTTATAAGTAAAAATTTTAGACTACCTCGAAAAAAATTACGGTTTTTTCATAATTCTTTTGAAGTTTTCTCGGAAACTACCAAAGATATTTCGATGAATTTTGTCACACATTATTTTTTCAGCGCAGTAATCAATTATGTTCAAAATCTTTACAATCGATCCAATATTTCCCATAGCCCCCATACAAAGGTATATATTCCCGGAAATTAGTTTATCGTTAATAACTCTCTCAAATATATCGGTATCAACATAAAATTTTGTACATGCAAATATAATATGAATAGAAATCATACTATCAACGCAGATCTCAGTCGGTCCACAATTGGTCATAGCTCTCATATAAGGTCCACTTCCGAAAATCACCTAAACGCACATATTTCTTTGATGAGTAAAGCTATTGTGATAAAAGTCGAGTTAAATGTGTTTTGTATACATACAAATCATTCTACCAAATTTTTTACGGATCGGTCCATTATTGGTCATAGCTCCCATATAAGGCCCACTTCCGGAAATCATTTAAAAGCTCATATATCATTGTCAAACAAAGCTATCTTGATAAAATTCGACACAAATATGTTTAGTCTAAATATGAATCACTCTACGAAATTTTTTCCGGATAGGCCAATAATTGGTCATAGCTCCCATATAAAGTCCACTTCCGAAAATCACTTAAACGCATATATTTCAATGAATTATAAAGCTATTGGGATAAAATTCGACACAAATATGTTTTGTATACATACAAATCATTTTACAATTTCTTTTACGGATCGGTCCATTATTGGTCATAGCTCCCATATAAGGCCCACTTCCGAAAATCACTTAAAAACACATATTTCATTGTCAAATAAAGCTATCGTGATAAAATTCGACATAAATAGATTTTGTCTAAATATGAATTACTCTACTAAATTTTTTCCGAATAGGCCCATAATTGGTCATAGCTCCCATATAAGGTCCACTTCCGAAAATCACTTAAACGCATATATTTCATTGAATTCTAAAGTTATCGGGTTAAAATTCGACAAAAATATGTTTTGTGTACATTAAAATCATTCCACCAAATTTTTTACGGATCGGTTCATTATTGGTCATAGCTCCCATATAAGGCCCACTTCCGAAAATCACTTAAAAGCACATATTTCATTGTCAAATAAAGCTATCTTGATAAAATCGACACAAATATGTATTGTCTTTATATGAATCACTCTACGAAATTTTTTCCGGATAGGCTCCCATAGAGGGTCCACATACGAAAATCACTTAAACGCATATATTTCTTTGAATAATAAGGATATCGGGATGAAGTACGACTTGAATATGTTTTGTGAGCATATAAATCATTCTACCAAATTTTTTCCGGATTGATCCATATATTGTAGTAGCTCATATATAAGGTCCACTTCAAAAAAATCACTTAAACGCACATATTTCATTATCAAATAAAGGTATCTTGATAAAATTCGACACAAATATGTTTTGTGTAAGGTCATAGCTCCTATACATATAAAGTCCACTTCCGAAAATCACCTAAACGCAAATATTTCACTAATTAATAAATCTATTGTAGTAATCATTATAATAAATTTTTTCTTTATCGGTTGATAATTGGTCACAACTCCCATATAAGGTCCATTTCCGAAAATTACTCAAATGCACTTGATAATCAAAGTTATCGGGATAAAATTCGACATAAATGTTTATTTTGTATATATAAATCATTCTACGGATTTTTTTCTTCCGGATCGGTCCATAGGTTGTCTTAGCTCCCATATAAGGTATACTTCTGAAAATCACTTAATATCACTTAATTCGTAATTAAATGATTATATCCGGATAAAATTCAAAATGAGTATGTTCTGTGTACAGATATATCATTATATTAAAATGTTTTCAAACTGGCCTATTAATATACATACATATTTCTCGACATAATTAAAATTAGTTTGACATATGCATAAATGTTAGTACCCTCAATAAGGAAACAAATATTTCGCCAAGTTATCTAAAAATTAGATAGTTAAATGGGTCTCAATGAAAAGTAGCTTGCTGGTGGAGGGTATTTAAGATTCGGGAGAGCCGAATATAGCACTCTAACTTGTTTTTTTTAATTTTAAATGACATTTTATTGTTAACTTAAAACTAACATCTATTTATAGGAAATTGTTCGTTAAAATGTTTGTTTATAGAAAATTTAATATTAAAAAATCGTTATTGAAAATTCGTTATTGATATCTAATTATGGAAAATATCCAATAACGTATTGATATAGTTTCTTTATGTAAGTATATGTACATATAAAAATTATTGATGAAATTTTCTATTTATTCCACTTACCTTTGTAATAGATTTTAATTGATTACATTACATATAATTTTTATTTATTTTTGTTTAAAACGTTTCCGAACCGTTTTATTTATACTATTTCATTAAATTGCAACTCTGCTGTACATTAACTTTAACATAAATCCACTAAAAACTATAGCTTTTTGCTTGCTCTGCTTTTATCGAAGAGTAAGATTATCTTCCTTTTTATTAATATGATGCAAAAGCTTTAACCAACCAACAACATATTAACAATTGACATCTTTATATTAAAACACTTTGCCCCTGCACTCTCCCACCCAACAATCACACATACCAATGCGCAAAGGGCTTTTGAATAGACAAAAACAATAACAGCTATGAACCACTAAACACAAAAATAACTAGAATACACTTTTGAGTATACACATTTTTTCTTAATGATTTTTTTTTATTTTGCCGACTTATTTGAATGAAAAACTATATTTTAACACAGATATTTGACGATTTTTATGGATATTTTATTAATTTACATTAAAACAATTTATATTTTATAAATTTTATTAAAATTCAAACACTTTCACTAAATCTAATTTACAAGTTCAAAACAAATGACGGATTAGAACGTGTCATTTTAGTAGCGGCCGAGTATGAACTGAAATTGTTTAAAGAAATATTAAATGATAGAGGAATTATCAGTTCGGTGGGAAATTATTAAATAAAGGGATTTTTGTAAATTGAGTTGTTAACATAATGGAATAATTTGTCAAATAGAAGATGAATATTGAAAAGGATTTGTTAAAAAGATGTATGTAGATGTATTTTAGGCCAATATGTAAGTCAACTAATGAACGATTTTAATTTTTTTGAACATTTTGTTTTATAAATTTCAATTATCTTTTATAAGGTGAAGGTGATAACGTAACACTATCGGTAACGATATTTTAGCGGTATCGGTATTTTGGCTTAATTTTGACTTTTCGGTATTGGTATTTTAGCGTTATCGGTATTTTGGCATATTTCGTTAATGGCTTGGAAAAAAATTAAAATTCTTTGCATAAATTATTATTAGAAAAGTACCAAATAGTTCCTTTTTCCTTTCCTTTGATTCCTTTAACCCACCTTAAAGTGTACCAATCGGATCTGAATCACTTTCTAAGTAAAACTACGAAAATTTTCTATTAAAAGAGAATTTTTATTGAAAATTTCCAATTTAAAGAAAATTTTTGTCGATAATTTTATGGAAAATTGTCTATTATTAGGAAAATTTTTATCGAACATTTTCTACTAAAGAAATATTTCTATGGAAAATTTTCTATTTTCTATATTCTATTAAAAGAATATATTTATCGAAAATTTTCTATTAAAAGATTTCTATTATTAGGAAAGTTTATATAGAAAATTTTCTATTCTATTCGATAAAAATGTTCTTTTAATAGAATATAGAAAATAGAATAGAAAATTTTCGATATAAATATTCCTTTAATAGAAAATTTTCGATAAAAACTTTCCTAATAATAGAAAATTTTCCATACAAATTTTCATTTAATAGCAAATTTTCGATATAAATTTTCATTTAATAGAAAATTTTTGACAAAACTTTTCTTTAAATTGAAAATTTTCAATAAAAATTCTCTTTTAATAGAAAATATTCGGTAAAAATTTTCTTTTAATAGAAAATTTTCGTAGTTTGTCTTAGAAAGTGATTCTGATCCGATTGGTATACTCTAAGGTGGGTTAAAAGAATCAGCACAAACCCATAGTTTTTAGAGATTTTACTCAAATCTGAATAATTTATGTACAGAATTTTAATTTTTTTCCAAGTCATTTACGAAATATGCCAAAATACCGATAACGCTAAAATACCAATACCGAAATAAGTCAAAATTAAGCCAAAATACCGATACCGCTAAAATATCGTTACCGATAGCGTTACCTTATCACCTTATAAAATACTAGCATACCCTGGGTGCTTCGCAACCCTAACTTAAATTAAATACATACAAAATTTTGTTTACTTCCATACAAAATTAAAATTGATTAAACATTTTTTAATGTTTCTGTTTTATACGTTCAATATCACGTGATTAAATTCGCACTCAGTAACAAGCTTGTATTTTTAGTTTCATTCATTTAGCTTCCACATTATAGAAAATTTCGAAAGTACTATTTGAAAAAAAAAAAAATACTATAATATACCTCTAATAGATTATCATTTAATCAAAAATTGTATGTCCCTAAATTTTAAATTTTATTTTCAATATCTATGTTCAATATCGTAAAAATATCAAAAAGTACCATCGGAAAAACGAAAAAGTACATAAACTCTCTCAATAAATTATCATTTAATAAGGACCGCATGTTCCGCCCAGCAAAAAAAGTGTGGAAAAAGACGTAGAATTTTCATCACAACTAGTAACCCGAAGTGCTTCAAATTCAGGTGAAAAACCTATGAATTTTACATAAGCGTGTCATTGGAGGGATGTTGTTCATTTTTGACAACTTTAAACTACATCTAATCTTATCTTTAGAAGCTGTAAAAATCCGATATTTGTATTTCAAAAATAAACCACATTCTTTCAATGAAACGCTTATGTAAATTTCATTGGTTTTTCATCAAAATTTGAAGTACTTCGAATATGTTGTTTGTAGTGACTTTTCTACATCTCTTTTCTCATTTTTAACTGTATTTTAATTTGTAAGTATATGTTTGGTTTATAAAAGCGAAAAGTATGCAATCGCATTTTTGGATGTGATTAAGATGTCGTTTGTAAAGTATGACATCAATTATTTTTTGCTGGGGGTTAACCATTATAAAGAATCTAAAAGGTACCATTTGAAGAATAGAAAAGTACCAAATAGTTCCCACTTACAGAATATTATACAGACCATGTATGTTAAAATTAATGTTCCTAGGTTGAATATTTTAGAAAATTAAAAAAAGTACCATTTATGAGATAAAAAGTACTAAAAGGTTCTCTCTTAAAGAATCTTATTCAATGAGGACCGTGTATGTTTAATAATCATTTGTTTTGAATTCATATTAAAAAACATACAAAGAGTACCATTTGAAGAAAGAAAAAGCACCAAAAGTGGAATAAATTTTACCTAAGTGGAAAGTACTAATAAAGAGTACAATTTTTCCCCTTTTCGTACTTTTTCGAAAATTAAGTTTACAAAATGTTCCGTATTTAAATCTATATATCACAGATAAAAGTGCAAAACGTGTAAAACGTCATATCTCGTTACGAACGCACGTTCTTAAAGATCAGTCCTATTGTTTTTATTTTTATTTCGGTAAAACAACAAGTTTGAATATTTAATGTGCATTTATTTATTTTGTAATAAAATTACGAACTGTTGCAAGCCATACTGGTGACTGAAAATAATTTCTATTTACTTAATTTTCATCAAAAAATCTTCGAAGTTTATTTTTTTTTGCGAACATATACACAAACATTCTTAATTATCATTAAAATTTCACTCAACTTAAACAATTTTGATCGTAAACAAACATTGACTCGTAAACAAAAGTCATATCAGCTGAATATCATCTGTCAATTTCTGATCAGTGCTACCAAGTCATCTATCGTAAGTGTTGTATTTCTTAATAATAAACGGCATTATCGACATACACTTAAAGAAATTATCATGAGTGATCAATTTAAATGTCTCAACAAAAACTGCACTCTATCATGTGTTGATGAGAGAATGTTGGTTTGTTGGCTTTGTCATGGAATGTGTCATTTCAAGTGCAGTGGATTGTCCGGTTTAGTTGCTGAAGCTGTCTGTAAAACTAAAGGTTTACACTGGTGCTGCAATGCCTGTCAGAAAATTGGTGTTGAATATTATCGCTTTTTTCAAGGCACTAAAAATACGTTTTTAAATATTCAAAATAAGTTATCTGCATTATCTAATGAAGTATCTGCCTATGGAAACCTATTTGAGGAATTTAAACAATTGAATTGTCTTAATTCCCCACCACAATCTTCGCCTAAACGCCGTAAATCGTCTAGAAACAAAAACAAATTTTCCCAGAGTCCTGGTCCTACTTCCAATGTTGATGATTCCGACTCAATCACACCAATTACATCAATAACTTTTTCCAATAACTGTGCTACTGCTCCGAAACCTATTAGTGATTCGGTAAATCAATCACAAACTCCCATCAAAGTAAAGGATGGTATTGTTTCTGATACTGCTCCAACTGTAAGTCAAATATCAAACGTTGGTTTAAAAATTATTCCGCCGAATAAATCAATTTTTATATCTCGTTTCGCATCCGATACTACTGTTGAACAAATAAACTCTTATATTAAATCGAAATTGAACTCTGAAGTAGATTTTACGACACATAAATTTTCTTATTCGCAACCTAGGAGGATTACATCTTTTAAAATTAATGTTCCTTGCGATGAACAAATAGTTAATCCTGAATTCTGGCCTGAGAATACTTTAGTTCGTGAATATGAATTTAAAGAATATCCAAGAAAACAACACGTTGCTATACTTCCGTCTGGTCATCAATTAAATAATAATTTAAACTCCAACAACACTTCAAAAAACTAATCTATAAATCTTTCGATCGATTAATCATTATTTATCAGAATGTTCGTGGCTTAAACACCAAAATGTCAAATTTACTTGTAAATAGTTATGACTTTAATTATGATGTTATTATCTTTACGGAAACATGGCTGAAGGACAATGTATTCGATTCTGAACTTTTATGTAATAAATATCAAATTTACAGATATAATAGAAATAATCGTAATGGTGGTGGAGTTTTAAATTGCAGTTTCTTGCCGTTATGCCTCCGAAAATATTGGCTCCTGTTTTTCTGAGAATATTGAGTTTGTCAGTGTATTAATAAGACTCAAATTTAAAAAGATTTACCTAACCTGTTCATACATCCCTCCAAACTCCAATGAAATTGTTTATCAACAACATGTAAATGCTATAACAAATATTGCTGATCTTGCTCAACCTGATGATGCTGTTTTTATATTTGGTGACTTTAACCTACCCTCTATCACATGGACAAAATTACCTGACGCTCCCAACTTAATTCCAACGAAATCTAAAAACTTTGATGATAATTTTTTAAACAATATATTTGATATTTGCCTGTATCAGCTTAATAACGTCTATAATGAATATGGAAAATTATTAGATTTGTTATTTGTAAATGATCCATGCAATTGTATTATATCCCGCTCTGAACCTGTAACTTTACCTGAAGATAAATTCCATCCTACATTCGAATTTGTTTTCTTATTGCCTCCTGCACAAAAATCTTCAACACAACCTTCTAATCTAAAAGTATATAATTTCAAACAAACTGATTACGTCAAATTAAATGACTTAATATCTAATACCAATTGGAACGATTTGCTGTGTATCCCCTACTTAAATAACTCTACATTGGACGTCATGATTGATACTTTTTATAATAAAATATATTCTTTTGTGGATGAATGCACTCCTAAACTGAGATCTTTCACACATTCTGGCCCTCCTTGGAATTCTAAACAGTTGACTAAACTAAAGAATTTAAAGAACAAATATTATAAAAAATTTAAAAAAACTGGATTGGTCATAGATTATGGTAAATATTCTGTTACTCGTGCTGAATACAACACTCTCAACAACTCCCTATATCATAATTATTTAATTAAAGTGAAGAACGAGTTTAAACGTAATTCAAAAGCATTTTACAATTTTGTTAACTCTAAAAGGAAAACAAATGGATATCCTTCAGTAATGAAATTTAACAACTGCGAATCTTCTGATGACCTCATGATAAGTAATATGTTTGCAAATTTTTTCGCTAGTACTTATTCGAACACACAATACATCTCTGATAGTTACCCCTTTACATTATACACTAATCGTGATATATCTTTTCCACTTATTGGCACTGCAGATCTACTGAAAAGTTTAAATAAACTAAAAATTTCTTATAATTATGGTCCTGATGGCGTTCCAAGCAGTATATTACATCATTGTTCTAATTCGTTAGTTTACCCATTAATAATATTGTTCAACACCTCCATTAAATATGGTTATTTTCCAAAAATTTGGAAATTCCATTGTATAAATCTGGTAGTAAATCTGATGTCTCCAATTACAGAGGAATAGCTAAACTCAGTGTAATACCTAAAATCTTTGAGAGTTTTATCACCGATTATATTTACCATCAATCATCATCTATACTGTCATCTTGTCAACATGGATTTCGGAAAGGTTGTTCCTACCACAAATGTCCTTCACCTTACAACACATGTAAACCGTGGCTTTGTGCAGAGAAAACAAACTGATGCCGTATATACCGATTTCAGCAAGGCTTTTGATAAAGTGAACCACAATCTCCTACTTATTAAGCTGGGCCTTCTAGGATTTACAAGCCGAAGCCTAAACTGGATAAAATCGTATCTTCGTAATAGAACTCAATGTGTCAGATTTAATGATAAATATTCTAAAAATATTTTGGTTACTTCTGGTGTCCCTCAGGGTAGCCATCTTGGTCCAATTCTTTTTTCCCTGTTCATAAATGACCTTCCGAATGTTTTAAATTTTTGCAACATTTTAATGTATGCTGATGATGTTAAAATATTTTTGAGTTTCTCCCGATATGAGGATCATTATTTTCTTCAATCCGATCTAAACAATTTCTTTTCGTGGTGCAATCTAAACTTAATGGATTTAAATTTAAAAAAATGTAAACTTATGCGATTTTCCAGAAATAATTACATTCCTGCCAACTATACTTTAGGAAATTACCAGTTCGAATCTGTTGAAACCTTTCTTGACCTCGGAATTTTACTGGATCATAAATTAAATTTTGTTTCACACATTACCATGACTATAAATAAGGCTAGAGGTGTACTTGCATTCATAAAACGTTGGGCTAAGGAATTCAGTGATCCCTACATCACTAAACAACTTTACATTTCCTTAGTAAGACCTATACTGGAATATGGCTCTGTTATCTGGGATCCTTATTACAATATTCATATACAGCGTATAGAGTTTGTACAAAAACAATTTCTGCTATTCTGTTTACGTGGTCTGCCTTGGAGTCCTGATGTGAACCTACCATCCTACACTTACAGACTTAAATTAATAAAACTACCTACACTGCACAGTAGAAGAACTATGCTTAATGTATTATTTATGATTAATATAATTAATGGCGAAGTCTGTTCAGAATTTCTTGTAAATAATGTTACTTTTAACATTCCTCAACGATCGTCTCGTCATTTTAAGCCACTTTATATCAGAAATGCTAGAACTAATTATGCCCAAGCTGATGCGTTAAGGAGATTATGCTGTGACTATAATAATCTTTTTCATATCATCGATTTTTGTACTAATACTAATGTAATTAAAAATAACATAATTAATTTTTTAAATAATTCATTTATGTAATTGTTAACTATTTGTATATTATTATAAAAGTCTGTAAGGATTTAATCCATTGACTTATAAATAAATAAATAAAAACGCAAACGATTCAAATCTGCATTCATTTGTTCCAGAAAAATAGTGCTTTCACAGAGTTAGTCCGTAATTTAATAGGAGTAATTCAATAAACCGAAAAAGTTTTCTTAATGTGCTAAAAAAAAGTACCATAAATACAGTTTTCTTAATTTTACACCCAAAAAGGACTGAATTTTAAAAAAGTACGAAACAGGTGTCTCCTAATTTTGGGAGATGTATCCAAAATATTTATAAAAATTTTATTATGTTAATTAGTTCAAAAGTTATAAAGGGCCAAAAAAGGTACCAAAATCACCTTTTTTACACATTTTTACCCCTTAAAAGTACGAATTTCAAAAAAGTAGCAGACACCCATCTGCTTATTTTAGAGTAGATACATGTGCATTTAAAATTTTTCTTGTATCACTAATATTAGGTAAGATAATTAAGAAAACCTGTTTTACCCGTTTTACCCGCAAATGTACAAATTTCCAAAAGTCCCTCCTTAGTGGATCTACATAATCAAAAACACATCTACTGTCAAAATTTCATGATTCTAGGTTCAGCCGTTTGGGCTGTGCGATGATGAATCAGTCAGTCAGTATATATGTAGATATATATATGTAGATAATTGAAATTTATAAAAAAAATTAAAATCCTTCATTAGTGGACTTACATATTTGGCCTAAAATACATCTACATCTTTTTAACAAATCCTTTTCAATGTTCATCTTCTATTTGACAAATTATCCCATTATGTTAACAACTCAATTTATAAAAATCCCTTTATTTAATAATTTCCCACCGAACTGATATTTCATCTATCAATGAATATTTCCTTAAACAATTTCAGTTCATACTCGGCCGCTACTAAAATGACACGTTCTAATCCGTCATTTCTTTCGAACTTGTAAATTAAATTTAGTGAAAGTGTTTGAATTTTTATAAAATTTATAAAATATCAATTGTTTTAATGTAATTTAAAAAAAATATCCATAAAAATCGTCAAATATCTGTGTTAAAATATAGTTTTACATTAAAAAAAATCAAGAAAAAATGTGTATACGCAAAAGTGTGTTCTAGTTGTTTTTGTGTTTAGTGGTTCATAGCTGTTATTGTTTTTGTCTATTCAAAAGCCCTTTGCGCATTGGTATGTGTGATTGTTGGGTGGGAGAGTGCAAGGGCAAAGTGTTTTAATATAAAGATGTCAATTGATAATATATTGTTGTTGGTTAAAGCTTTTGCATCTTATTAATAAAAAGGAAGAGAATCTAATTTTTCGGTAAAAGCAGAGCAAGCAAAAAGCTATAGTTTTTGGGGGATTTATTTTCTAAGTTAAAGTTAATGTACAGCAGAGTTGCAATTTAATGAAATATTATAAATAAAACGGTAAACGGTTTGGAAACGTTTTAAACAAAAAATAAATAAAAATTAGTTGTAATGTAATCAATTAAAATCTATTACAAAGGTAAGTGGAATAAATAGAAAATTTCATCAATAATTTGTATAGGTACACTAGCTATACCCGGTGTGCTTCGCTACCCTAAAAGGAATTTGTATAAATAAATACCAGATTTATTACATATGAAAGATGTCAAGCAAATTATTGCAAGTTCGCCAGTTTCTATCTATCGCCAATTTCTATCTATCTATAAAAAATTTGAATAATATAAGAGTTTCCAAAATGCACGAAATTTTGTATTTAATTCATATATGTTGCGCCAAGCCACCCATTGAAAGTCCGCCCGTTATGCTCTAAATGTTCACATGAATTTCAAAGTTCTCCATGTTAAATTTGAAGAATCTAGCTCTAATAGTTTCTCAGATATACGAATTTTTCTATTTGATTCATGTGGGGGCTTCAAGACCCCCCAGATGAAAGTCCGCTTTTTTTTTCCTCCAAAATGTTCAGATGAATATTTAAGTTCTTCGTGCGAAATTTGAAGAATTTAGTTCCATTAGTTTTCCAGATAAACGAATTTTTGTCTTTAATTAATATAGGAGGTGCCGCTCCCCTCATGGGTAGTCCGCCAATTTATTACCCAAAATGTTTAGATGGATGTTAAAGTTTTTCGTTTCGTTTTTTG